TGTTTGTTAGAATCATAAAATTTAATTAGATCTCCGAAAATAAATAATCAGAAAACTAAACCAATATTGTATTGTTTTGATTATTAGAATATTTTCTAAAACTGAGATCTCTTTGTATAAATGCTATTTCTAAATTTAAATTTGTCAGTATTATTTCCAAAAATATAGTTTTCAAATATAAGTTTTCGGAAGCTATTTTAAATGCTAATTTTTATTAAAACTTTACAATTAACAATTGTGTTCTTTGAAAATTTATATATTTTAAATATTCATATTTTCATTTTAAAATGGATAATTAAATCGTAGCCTTTAATACTGTATTAGGAAACTTTAATATTTTGGGTGGGTATTTAATCATATTTCCAAATGATTAACCATTATATCAAAGATTACAAACTTATTTGGTAATTAGAATATTATCTAAATATTAAGATCTTTTTTAGGTGATGAGAAACGTAATTACCTTAAAATGTGCAATTGTTATTCACCATTTATATTTAATTATACACAATTAATTTAGATTTCTAAAATATGCATGTATCATTATTATAGTTTCCTAAATAAGGGGAATTTTTAGTAATTGATTTTTTTTTTAATAGTTAATGTCCATATCCAAATTTTACTCCAAAAATTAAGTATACATCATTTTAATTTCGGGTTATTTTTCTGTTTTTAACCCGACCCGAAAGTACTTTTGTACTTCTCTTTTACTATAGTAGGGATAGTAAAATACAAATTGTAGAAGACACAAAATATCAGAACCAATGGGGCTGCGTCGCGAGTGTCATTTTTGGCCCGACATTACCCACATAATTGAAGCAATTAGACACCCCAAAATATCGAAACCACTTGAACTCACCTTTACGTTATATATTGTCCATACATATTTCTTTTTTCGGTCCCTCACATTAAATAATTTCTCTAGTTCTTTTGTGGGATATTTTCACGATGTTTAGACTTTAGAGTATTAAAAACTAAGATCATCATTATTTTTTTCTTTTCCTTATATAACATCAATATTTCGAGCCAAATCAGATGCTTGGATTGGAACCTCGAAGTTTTGGGTCAAAGCATGTATACAAAGGCCACATTTTACTATATAAATTAATATATTTTTTTTTTAATAATGTGTTTGGATTCTTTCTTTGAAAAGATATAACATTAATATTTATGAAATAAACTATATCTCATTTTTAATGAAAACTTTCTTGATCTTTTATTTAGAGATGTAAACTTAATATTTTTTTATATGAAAGCTACATTTTTAAAAATTCTCTCAAGCCTCTAATACACCTTGGCGTGGCATTGCGTGTACATATTCGTGAATACGAAACTAAACGGTTGATAATAACATGGCAATAGTGTAAATTATCCATTCCCAAAGAAAAAACTAGGAGCACAATAAATCCGTTTTCTTACGCTAACCATCAACCACCAGTAAATTAAAACCATCTTGATCAATTATAAAGTAGTAATCTATTTAGTATATAACAAGTACTATTAGGCGTGTAAGATTCTTATTTCTATGTGTACACATTCATAAACAACATTTAAATTATACACATTTACACTTAAAACCATAAGTTTATAAAAAAAACATGTTCTCACAAAACGGAAACATAAATCTCAGTTCGTTGCGACCAAAAAGACTCTTTATCAGGCAAAAGCGGTCTCCGGTTCCAAATGTTTGGTTTCATCATCATGGTCTTCTTTAGGAGACTACTAGAGTCTTTCGAGTTTCATGCCGCCTTGATGCTCCTCTTAAACAAGCAATATAACAAACTTTGGCTTGGTATCTTATAGTCTAAATCGTTCATTGATCGAAATATAAACGAACCGACATAACAGTTTTGTTCTGGCAATATACTGAAATCAATGTTAAACGGGGTTTAAACCACACACAAAAAAAAAAAAATGATATACAATTTTTGTTGTGTCCGTACTTTGTCGGGTCTTGCTTCGCAGGCTGTCTTTCGATGGCTATCCAATCGCTACGTCTGTCCAAACATGATTTTATTCACGTCGAATATATAATAATAACAATAATACAGTACTATTTATGTTAGTCGTTATCGAATAGGGAAAAAATCTAACATTATTATTTTTGGTAAGGAATCTAAAGTTATTACTTCACATCAAACTTTAAAAGGGGTGGACATGCGAGGAACCTGTATACAAATGCTCTGAGTTCTTTCAAATATTTATTCTATCCTCGAATAGCCTCCTACGTGGCATTTCATGTACCCTTCAACACACCCTCGAACGTATCTTATAAGAAATTTATTCGTTAGATATTTCTTTTTATGTCAACTATAGATTTCTGCGCTCAATAATGTACATTTTTTTGATATATTAATGCCAAGAATATGAATATACATGTTCAAAATTACAAATATAAACTACACGTCTTAGTTATTCTCTAATTACTATGGATGATGAAAGTTGAGACCAATGTGTTATGCCATTTTGCACTACGGAAGCGAAACATACATATAAGCTTACTCCTCAAAAGAAGCTAGTCTTTTTAAACTATATATGATCGGCCATTTTGCACTATGGCTTTGAGTGAACCTAGGCGGTGATATAAGATTAATATAATTTTGCACTTTCGGTTGCTGATCCAAATATAAAACACGAGTAAGAGATACTAATTTTCAATTACTTGCTCCAATTTTATTCAATTTTATTTTTATTTTCCAATACTTTTCTTGTATGATATTTGTTATGAATTATTTGAAGCATAAAAGAAAAAGGATGAACACGAACTAATGGAAAAGGAGTAACAGACATATCGACGTGGAACAACAACAGACTCAAGAATGCCACCCACGAAGACATTGTTGATTCGTTGACAGTGACAACTGCACCCGCAACTATTTAGTGTCACTTGTGGTTTGTCAATTTTTATGAAGAACAAAAACAAAACCTTGTTGCTTTCAGTCTGCAATAACTTTTTTTTTTTTCATCATCGTATATCTTATATTCTGATAGCTTCTAAGCATACTTTTTCCCGGTTTAAACGCTATGATGTTTGGTGCACCAAAAAAAAAAAAAAAAAGCTATGATGTTTACGTTGGAAAAATGAGTAAAAAGATCTATGTTTTGCAAGTATCTTAGGGGGTTTGCAAAGAAAATATTTTTGTAAAAAGTTTTAGGAAATCTTATTCCTAAAATACTTGCAATCCCTTTAGTTATATAATATGGGTATTAGCTAGTAAGAGCCTACGATAAAATCGATGACCTATAGTTTATAGATAATATTGTTGTTGAACAGCAAAATCAATTTATATATGGTTACGAATCGACTTTAAATTTTGTATAGGCGATTAAAGATGACTTATGAAAAACATTGATAATTCATGTATTTCTTATAGTATTTTGACCGATATTGGAAATCTAATAATAGAATATATTGTTAATTGGTGGATAGAAACTAATATTTTGTAGAGACACATCAGAAATTTCACATTTGGAAATTAGTGTGTCAAGAGTCATCATGAACCATTAAGAAAATGTCAGGTAGAAAAATTCACATTGGGAGAAGAAACTTAAAATGATAATATGAAGTATCGAAAACTAATCCAAAAAAAAAATTCAAATAGTAGTTAACTTTATATTAATATTTTCAATCAAAAATTGAAATTAAAAACCTATATATGAAACTATAACATGTTAATTAAGATAATTGTCATTTTAACTAATTAATATGGTCCATGAAATCTGTCATCGATGGTGTAGTTCCTTTGTATGAATGACAAAAGAAATATTTATACGATTTAAAATTAGTCATCTTCAAAAATATATATGGACCGCCAGTCTAATTTTATGGGATTACTTACATTAAATTGTCATTTTGTAAACCTATGAATTAAATTCAAGTTTGGTAGCACTGAAATAACAGGTTGAACCGATTTGCAAATGGGTACACTTATATGCAACAACAAAATTGTGTGGTCAAAAAGAGAAACACTCGGATCCATTCCAAGCCATACCGTACGTCTCTTCTCTGAAAATTGTTGGTAAAAAGAATCAAAACAATATCTTAAATTGAGAGATCGTTATTCGTTACGAACAATGTTGAAGGGCGACATATATGAAAGAAGGAACAATTTGGTCTAAAAAACTAGATTCATCGTACCGCTTGACGACGTCATGGGTCGTTGTTTGGATATGGACCTTTTTATCTCACGTCTGATACTATAGTGTTAATACTTTCATGACAAGTTATAATCACCAAAAGCAAGTGATGACTTCGGTCGTACATGTAGAGGAGATAAACTCAAGTGGATATGGACCTTTTTCTGAGGGTAGAAAATATAATTATTAACAAAAATTTTATAAATGTCTTTCTTATACATAAACTAAGGAAGACAACAACAACAAAAATTTGTACTTACGATTATTGGGAAAATGGAAGTAATGATTATCACATATTCACAGCCAACGAACCATTCCTAAAATTCAAAACGCTATATTCTATGTTTCTTTATCTCTATATCTTTCTTGTTTTAAACACTTTACCCTCCATGCCATGGTACGAAACGAAAAAAAAAACAAAAAAAAAAAACTGCAGTCATTCATTATTTATGTTACAGATCAGATCACTATGAACTCACGATGTAAAAGTTTTAAACTAAGTATATAGGAAATAAATTAACTTACGATATGTATACCTAAAAGAGAAATAATTGATTGAGCTTTAGTTTTTGAACTGTTTGGTCGTACGGCATTTCTAAGATCTTTTTAAAACATCTCATCTTCTTCTTATTATATATATATACACACGTCGTTCGAGTACATCACTCCATGTCTCAGCCTTCAAAGCTAATCGAAAGTGACCCCAAAATAAAAAGATTCTTAAGGCAAACTACATACGTATATATCAATGGCGGTCTTGTCTAAACCGGCCACAGAACCAAAATCCGAGCTTTCGCCTATCCCGGTTATAGATATCTCTGACCCAGAATCCAAAGATGCCCTCGTCAAAGCCTGCGAAGACGTTGGATTTTTCAAGGTGATCAACCATGGCGTTCCCGCAGAGCTAGTCTCTCTTTTGGAACACGAGACCGTGGAGTTCTTCTCGTTGCCCAAGTCAGAGAAAACCCAAGTCGCAGGTTATCCCCATGGATACGGACACAGTAAGATTGGTCAGAACGGCGACGTGGGCTGGGTTGAGTATTTGCTGATGAATGCTGATCTTGATTCCGGTTCGGCTCCACTCTTTCTGGGTCTTTCGAAAAACCCGGAAACTTTCAGGTTGGAATTAACGGTTTTTATATCTTCTTTTGCTTTGTTAATGTAGCTAACACCTCTCATTCCCATACTCTGTTTTACGCTCTGTGTTTGTTTTTTTATAGTTCATCTTATGTACCTTTCTATGCTTTACTTACATAGTGACTCTTTGTGATTCCCATTTACTTTCATATTTAGCTATATTCAAAGAGAATGGTCGGTCTAAAGTTTTGTTCCTTCAAATCTACAGAAACGCACTGGAAGAGTACATAACATCAGTGAGAAGGATGACGCTCCATGTCTTGGAGATGATAGCAGATGGGCTAGGAATTAAACAGATAAACGCACTTAGCAAGCTCGTGTCTGACCAAAAGACAGATTCGATACTGAGACTTAACCACTATCCACCATGTCCTCTAATCAAAAAGAAGTCCAATGGTGTGATCGGTTTTGGTGAACACACAGATCCTCAAATCATCTCTGTCTTGAGATCTAACAACACTTGTGGCCTCCAAATCAATCTAACAGATGGCTCTTGGATCTCTGTCCCTCCCGATCATTCTTCCTTCTTCTTCAACGTTGGTGACTCTCTCCAGGTTCGTCCGTCCTCTTAATCTCTGGTTTTATGTTTCCAGACCAGAGGAAGAGGATCTAAGCTTTGTATATTTATGTATTTTTGATGTGTAGGTGATGACGAATGGGAGGTTCAAGAGCGTGAGGCATAGGGTTTTAGCCAACTGTAAGAAATCTAGGGTTTCCATGATTTACTTCGCTGGACCTTCTTTGACTCAGAGAATAGCTCCGTTGACTTGTCTTATGGGCAAAGATGAGGAGATGTTGTACGAAGAGTTCACTTGGTCTGAGTACAGATCCTCTGCCTACAACTCTAGACTGTCTGATAATAGGCTTCAACCATTTGAAAAGAAGACTGTCAAACATAATACATTAACTGTTAAAAAAATGATTAAATGATTTTTCCTAAGTGTGTGTTATTCCCTTTCTATTAAAATGTTTGTATGATTGAAGTTAATTGTTGATCCAATAATTGTGATAATGCAATAGTTATATTTTCTTTAACATCACTATCGCTTGAATGCTTGTTAATATCATGTTGTCATTTTTTTTTTTTAGGTTCTCAAGAAAAAAGTTAATGAAATCATTTGTATTTTAAAAATATATAGTAACTATTTTTAAAATAGAGATAACCAATATAAAAAGATTAAAAAAACGGGATATTCCTATTTGCACTTAAGCATTGAAAAGATTGATAACATATAAAGGACTACGCGAAGCTACATAATGTATATCGTCTCCATATCCCACAAAAGTTTGGCCACTGCCGCACGTTTTCGTTCAAAACCACCAAAAATATAGAAATCCTACGTATACAACCTTAATAAAACAACATGCATTGACAGTCCGATATTACATTGTTGGAGGAGGATCATATATACCTTTAACATATATACGACTATGGCTAACAACTTTATAACAGTTTTAAAGATATTGATAAAGACATTACAACCAAGATTTACACGTTGAATGTGGTCCGAGTATTTGTTTTTGGGCACCAGTATGTTTAGTGATCTAGACATACATTAATATGATAATTTAGACAGCGTGTCGTTTATTTATAGTTTGCACACCAATTGTTTTTTTTAAGGAAAGTGACTTGTCACTCACTGTATTGTTATTTTCACTTGGGCCAACTTGAATATCTGAAAGTTATATTTTTTTTTAACGTTGGTACGTAAGTAGTTTCTTCTATAACGACTTCTCCTTTCATTTTATGTTTTATATATAACAATCTCCTTTATATATAGCAGTAATCATTCTTGAGGTTAACTGGTTGTTTTTTACCCAGGTGGAAAATAAAAAAAATCAGAGACGTATGTTCTTCTTCGATCCTGTGCAAAGTTGTGAAAGAGAACCAATAACTAGCTTCCAGCGGACCAAGGTCTCTTCCAATGGCCATTACATCAACAATGGCCTACCATATCGCCCACAACTGTATATACTTTATGAGCATTTTTTCAACATCTTCCAAAACATTGCCGAAATCGATGAATCCTTTTCTATCAGCACAGCATGATTAATGCCTAGCAAATTTTTAAAACATTGCGTCAACTTATTCCAAAACAATGTCAGAACTGGAGCTAGTTTTTGAGTAAGATTTTCGAGTTTATTAGGCAATTGGATTTTTGCACTGATTAGGAATATGACTATTCAAAAAAAAAAAAGAAGAGAGCCCTAAGTACTAAACTTGCTCTCTAAAATCTAAATGCTTTTGGAGAAATCTTAATGTAATTTCAAGAGTGATCAAGAATTGAATTCTGATAAAATAAAGCTTTTTGGTGAAGTAGCACAATCATTGTCTAAATATGTTCCACTCATGTGAGAACCGACCATTCATCTCTACCCCTCCAGATAGAACCATAGCTGCAGCGTCTGCTGCTTTCCTCCACTGCTCGGTTTGTACTCTCAGCTTCTAGACTCTCTTTTGCTTCTTCCATGGATTCAAGCTTCTTCTTTAGTATTATCCATTTTAATACTTATAGAAAGAGGCACATAACTTATTAGGCAATTGGATTCTTGCACTGATTAGGAATGTGACTATTTCAACTATAGAGGCCTAAGTACTAAACTTGCTCTCTAAATGCGTTTGGGGGAAATCTTAATGCAGAAACTAATTCAAGTGTGATCAAGAGAGAAAGTGAAGAGGAACCATCAGACTTTGCAATTGAATTTTTGAATTCTGATAAATTAAAGCTTTTTCTGGTGAAACAGCACAATCTTTGTCTAAATGTTCATCACTAGCAATATTTTCTATAATTCGAAATGGTGAGCCATCATTTCGTAGACAAAATCAGACAATTCCCTGAATCACACGCTACTGTTTGGTCTATCACTTCATTTTTGTCCTTTCTTCTTCCATAGGTCACCGAACATCTTCATCCCTGAACCTTTCCTCTTCCCAGACCCTAACCCGTCATCCGAATCGTCAGCCATTCCCGGTGATCCTACAAACCTGCCTGCAAAATGAGTCTCCATTGACCCGCACCGCTCTGAGAACCGACCATTCATCTCTACCCCTCCAGATAGAACCGCAGCTGCAGCGTCTGCTGCTTTCCTCCACTGCTCGGTTTGTACTCTCAGCTTCTTCATCTCGGCTTCTAGACTCTCTTTTGCTTCTTCCATGGATTCCAGCTTCTTCTTTAGCTTTGCCATCGTCTCGTTGCTTTCTTGTAGTTCTTCCTCAATCTGACTCACCTTTGAAGCTATCCCACCCTCTTTCGCCTTTGCAGTGGACATTTCTGAATCCATCTTCTTCAACTGATTCTTCAAGCCCTCATTCTCCTCGTTAAGTGATAGCTTTTCTTTCTCCAAGTCGTATAGTCTAGCTTTCAGTACATTGATTTGGTCTTCCTTTGAAGCCAACTCATCAGTCTTCAGCTTCTCACCTTCTTTTGTTTTCTCAACTGGAACCTCGAAAACATCAGTCTCTTGATGCCTATCACCAGGGATGTTGTCTCTCTCCGGAACAGGAGGGTTTGGTTTCTTGGGCTTCTTCTTATGAAGCTCTTCTTGAGCACGTTTCTTGGCAGCTTCAGCTTTAGCCAACTGCTGTTTGAGCAATCTCAACTCCTCCTGGGCTTGTCCTAGCTGTGACTCCAAGCCAGAGATGCGACTCCCAAGCTTCTTCTGAGTCAGCGGATCCGTGTGAGGCCCACCACTCCTCGAATATCTACGGTCAAGACCGAGTTTTAGACTCTGGTCTTGAGTCGGACGGCTGAGGTGATGCGGATCAGAGGCAGTGGACGATGACGATGTCCTTAACCTTGGAGATTGTCTCTGAGACAACTCTGAACCTCTAATACTACGCAGATAACAACAAAATTGCAATTTCACTCGTGTCAGTCTATCAGATCATAGAGACTTAACAACTAACACCAAATCCAATTATAAATCGCACTTTCTTCAAGAATTCAAAAGTATACAGAAGAAAAAAAGAACATTTACCTTGGCTTTGGCATTCTAGCTGTTGAGGCTGTCTCCAAAGGTTATATGATCTGATGAAAAATCAAAAGCATTCCTCAGAAATGAATAAAGCACACATGAGACTCCTCGGAAGCACGACACATTCTGATAAGAACTGTGAGACACGCGCCACTAAGTGCGAGTGAGACTCTCTTGAACAGAATATACTAGTAAGTAACAGAGTCAAACCAGACAAGTGAAGTGAACAATTGCTTTTGCTTTCTCACTCAAAACGCTTTAGAAGATTCAAGAAGAAGAAAACAGATTTTCAAAGACTTTAAAAAATTGAAATACTAACCTTGAAGACAATAATGCAGACAGCTGAGAGACTACTTTCTAAGTCTCTCTCCTTTGCAATTGACTACGAAGGAGTGATTGCGAATAGTCTTGTTCAAGTAATCGAAGCAGATAAAATACTAAAAACAGAGGGGATAATTTGAATCTGTTTAACAGAAACAAGAGCACAAAGACAAGAGAACCCAAAAAATGTGGAGGAAAGAGAGGTTTTTTAGCTTTTGTCCAGACTCTATAGAGAGACTCTCAATTCAAGAAAGAGAGAGAAAAAAAAGAGACGTTGGGGGAGATTTGAAATAAAGCTGATGAAAGGGGAATGATGACCTTTGAGGAGAAGATAAGGACAAAAGTGTAAATTTCACCTGATGTAAAAGGTCACCACGTTTACATATATGCTAATCATCCTAATGTTTTTTTTTTTTTTGGTTTAGATTTTAAAGATTCCGCATCTTTTGCATGATTTTAGTGACACAAACAAGATATAATAGTTCGTAGGAATGCGATATCGTCTATAATAAGTTGCCAAATTATTATAGCAATTTCTTCGGTTCATTGAGAGATGAATTTATAATTGGAAGCAGTCTTTTGTATTTTGTATTTTGTATAACAGTATACTAGTTATTAACCCATGAAATAAACAGTGGGCTAAATTTTTATTTAATATAAATTTGTAATAATTTATTTTATTTTTATTAATTTAATATTTTATGTATTTTCTATTTTTATTTGTATATCCAAGCAAACAATATATTTGTTTGATTATTTTATGATTTTTTATAATTTATAGATTTTTTTACGATTTATATATTTTAATTCGTTTGATTATTTGTTTAATTATCTTTATCATATTCGGTATTTTTCTATTTTTAATTTTTTAAAATAGTATTTTAATGTAAAATTTTGTAATTTATAAACTTTATTTGTATTTGTGTAGTTTTTAATTAATATAATAAGATACAATAAATATAAAAATATAAAAACAAAATGGTGTGGCTATAATATTTGTGATGAATACTCTATTATTATACCACACATGTGTCATGACTCGTGTGTGTCGTAGTAGTAGTACCCTTATCAGTCGGTCTGACATTGTTTCTTTCTTTTTGTCGGTTTCCACAAAGTTCAAACTCTTTTTGCTTTTTGTTTTGTTTTGTTTAGTTCATTATATTAACTTAATTATTAAGCTTCACATTTTCGTTTTAATTCCATTAGTGGATTTCATTAACTAACGTACGTATATATTTTTTTCCTTTAACATATGAAAGTTGAAACAATGTACATGATAAACCCCCCCCCCCCCATAAAAATGTTACATTGTACTCGGTATTCGAGATAGAACCATATAGATCACTACTATATTGGAATATAGTATTAAGGTGACGACAAAAGTTATGTGAGTAAAAAGTTGACATTTGAAATTTGGACACATCAAAACTCTCAAGTAGATTCAGTGCCACTATGATTTATGATTGTACAAGTAACCTTTGCATCTAACCAACCAACCCAGTAACAACCACCCCTTTAACTTTTTGGCTTCTCTTATGATGATGTTGGTAGTAATAATTCAAAAAGTAAGTAACTTTGGGTATTACTACGTTTCAAAAATAAATAATTGAACTAGTAACTTTGGATATTTTGGGAGTTGTGAATCTATAGGCCCATTTATCATCAAATAAATCAGCTGGTTCTGTGTCTCAAAATAAACCATTAAGACACTAACACAAACATAAGTTGCTCCGATCAAGATATTCAATGTTGAAATTTTGGTGTGTTGCTGCTGCTAGTCATAAATCATAATCCATTGATTATATCTTTACAACTGTTTATCTTAACGAAACCTTAAAACTCTAAATAAATAAATATCTAAATGAGATTAAAGGTGAGAGAGGTAGCCAAAGCTAAAAACCCTATACCCCTAATTGCTATTTTTTGGTCTGCACTCTCCAGCTTTGACTTTCGCTTCTCATCATTCATTTGCTATCTATCTACACGGCAAAACCTGTGCTCTTCACTTTTTGTCTATGCAGCAAATCGAAAAGAATCATGGAGGAAGATAATATAACAACATAAAGAAGGTTGAACACAACCCTTTTCTATTAAAACTTGAAATCATCTCATCTGTCTTTCTTTTCTTTTCTTTTCTTTCTTCCTATAGGAACAAGACATTTATATGATGAATTTAAGGTAAGGTAATCATCACATCCAGACCCATGAGTTTCCATTATTACCCTATTCATTGCCATGTAACTTCAGTTGATGCACTTGTGGTTGTGGCATGAACCTCTGCTAAAGACACAGCCATAGCCATCATCATTTGCTCCTCAAAACTCTCTGGAACAATGACAAGAGGAGGAGGAGGAGGAAAGTTGTGGAAGCTCTCGCCGGTCATGTATGAACTTACATAGTTGTTGCTGCTTCCTGTTTCTCCCATCTCGGTGTTGTTATGGTAATGTTGTTGTTGATGATGATGATGATGGTTGCCAATGTCATCTACCTCTTGTTCTATGTCGTAGTAACTGTCACAGTTTCCAGGAAGCATACTGTATGAGGAAACGTTGACATTGTGATTGTGATTGGAGGATTCGCCAACCATTTGGCGTTCAGCAAGTGCCGCGATTGCACAAGTAATCCCACCAGATGATGATGAAGACGGCATTGCTGGTTCTACAGTTGAAGCCATTGGTGGTGGTTGAGAAACATAACTATGATCTTCTGTTTCATACTGCCTAGAAGAAGTCATTTCCCCTGAAGCTGAATTTCTCTGCGTCCCAGTTTCCTGTTAGAATAAGTTACAAAATCCATGAGAATTTTGAAAATTGTTATCAAAGGTAAGAAAAAAGTTACACAAACAATTGTATATACCTGAACGGAGAGCCATATTGCTTCCATTACCATTAACTCTTCAAGGTCAACGTCAACCTCGTCATCCCTGAAGAGTTCATAGACAAATCACATATATAGTCAGTCAAATATGAATCACTCAGATTAAAGTTTCAATTCTGTGCGTTTAGCCAATTTAACCATTGTGAAAATGAGTTTATATTGTTGTTCGAGACATAGAACCATAACAAACTTTAACTCGCAACTTCCACTTGTAAGAGGAAGCCCAATGGTACCTACATTCCTAAGTGAAACTGTGTCCAAAGCACTTTATTCCCCAAAACAAGGACTAAAGTTTAATAAAAACAGCAGTGCTTCATAAGTTATTTAGAAATTTCATGGTTACAACTATTACGTTAATCCAAAGAAGAACTTGACACTCCCTCCCCCCCTCCAAAAAAAAAAAAGAAAACAGAGCAGCCAGTGGAAAAGTAGACCTGTTTCCCCGAGGACGAGAATGCTGTCTAACAGCTGACGCGTTCTGCGATGAAGCAGTTTCCCCTTCATCCATGGGTGAATTATAAGATACAGCTGCAAACCAAAGACAAACAAAAAAACGAAGCCTGTCAAAACTGCCTTTGTAACACCACTTGTTCCTGACACGTTCTGGCAGGACAAATAAACCGACCTGAAGCTGAACCATATTCCATCTCGCCAGTCATTGCGCTTGTGCTAGAGGAACATGATTCAAGACGTTTCTGCATTTTCTCTTCATCATCCTGCATTTCCTTCTGCCTAATCCTTATCTTGGCTTCTATAACCCGTTGCTCTTCCTGCAAAAGGATACAGTTTCCACAATTATGAAGCAGCATTCCACGAAAACTTATCGACAAAAAGAGTTACTGTAAACATTCAATTTTTGACTTACAACTTGTTCAATGCCCTTTTCCTCCTTTGACTTTACTCCACGGTACTCAACAGCATAATTGGGTGTTTTACAAAATGGGCATCTCATAAATGTCAAGGAGGACATAAAAGAGAAGCTCCACCAAAATAACAAGAAAAACTCTCGAATATTATGCCGAATGTTAGCTAAAAAGTTAATGCACAGAATTTAAGATGAAGGATACTGAGTAGGCCGAGCTGAATTAGGATTCTTCATTTGTAAGAAACACTCTGCAGCGAAATTAAAAAGAGTGCCGTGTCAAATGACATTGAAACAAGAACAGAACAAAGAGGCTAAAACGTTAATGAATATATATTACCTGTACAAATGCTTTTCATGCAACATCTTGATCTATTGAGGCTAGGATAGTACTAGAAACACAAGAAGAATGGAAGAGTTAGCTCAACAAAATGTAACGAGAAATGTAAAAATATAGAGAGACAAAGAAATACACAAACCAGAAAACAAATAGGACATTCTTCAAGATCATGGCAGCTCTCATCGTCTCCAGGATAGCAAGGAGCAAGCTTAGACTCTACAATCAGTTTTCTGAGCTTTTTAATGTCGACATCTTTATTCACATACAAACCTTGTGGCTTTGTATACCTTTCTTCCACCACTTGCCTCTTCCTTCCTAACTTATTACCCATCACAAAGTTGCAATCTTTTTTTTACTAGTAAAACCCTATCCTACCTTTACAAGAGCAGAGATTATGTGACTAATTCTCACAAGTAACAAATAAAATGAAAGTCCTTTCTACCCGCTGGAGAAACAAAAAGGCCTAATTTGCTAACCTAAAGGTACATGCTTTAAAATTGGAAACAATCTTCACCGTAACCTGCACAAATGATGAATTCAATTTCAGCACACAATTCGGGCAAAACCCCTAATTTGATTGAGACATAAAAGCCCTAACTTTGGAACCTTTTGAACTGGGGGAGATTACAGAACACACAGTATAACGCTTTAAGACCTAATTTAAACATTCCATCATATTCCAAAATATAGAAACCCTACAAAAGTTGTGGAAAAAGAAGTAGGGAGAAAGGATAGAGGAATCGGAAGAAACCTGAAAACTTGGGAGGAAACAAAAATCTTGAGAGGGGCAGAAGAAAACAAGAAAGGAGATCAAACAAGGGTTTTTGGATAAACGATAAGAGACACGATCAGAACTTTACTCTGTAGAGAGAGAAGGAAGGAAGAGAGAAAGAAGAAGAGAGAAGCAAAGATAAATAATACACAGTGTTTTGTGAATTGTGTGTGTCTCTGTCGTATTATATAAAATTCGTAGAAAAGAAAAAAAGAACAACAGAGAGAGAGAGAGAGATTAGAACAAGTTCTGTGTGTAATGAAAATTGTATATTTTGTTGCTATTATTATAATATGTTGACGGGAAATCTCAAAGAGAGAGAGAGAGAGGATGATGAGGTGGAGAAGCCAAAGGGGAACAGGAAACGATGGAGTAAGAGACGAGCCAAAGAATCATCCATCCATCACTCTTCTTCCCTCCTCGCGCGTGTTCTTCACTTTCTACTTCAAACGTCGTCGTTGCGTTTCTTTTGTTTGTTTGTTGACCATAAAAAGCTTAGAATATACGAAATCTTCTGAAGGCGGTTTTGTCTTAAGCACCGAGTTGGGTTAGAATAATAATTGTCTTTTTCGTTTTTAATTTATCCATTTCTTTCTTTGTTTGTCGCATTTGCACTAATATTCGTAATTTACCATCCAAATTTATTATTGCTAATGGAAAAATAAGAATAATTATTTGTTCAAAGATTGTGATATTTCAAAACTAGGTTAGTCGCCGTTAATGTTATACTTAATTGAATTTTGAAAAGTGTTCTTTTTATATCAAAAACAAAAAGAAGAAACGTATAATTTATGTTGACGTACAAATGTTTCTAATAATCGTTGAATCAACCCAACTAAATACCAGAAAAAACCTGAAAATAACTGCCAAAAAAAAACTAAATTAAGAATGGAAGAAAAGTTAAACAAGAATCGTAGATGAGGCGACCAAAATCGTGTGTGTGTGTGTGTGTGTATGAGGTTTAATGAAAAGAAATGGTTCACCCAACACAAAATTGGTTAAAGGTTTGTTAGAGAAGGTCAACCATGAGTTTTGTTTCTATTTGCCTCGGCCATTTACGCAGCCCTCTCTTTTTTTATATACATAAAACACACAAAGAAGGTTAGTTCACATAATGCTTGATTTGGTTGTTGTGAACTATAAGTTGGATTTAAACAAAACTTGTGAACTTATCCGGATAATATTAATATAGTACCCTGATTGGTTTTTTCGGTTGGTAGACTGACATATGTGTTGTGTGTGTACGTACACTTATATATTAGTATCAGTTTGTAGACAACTAAAAATTAGAAGTATCCCAACTTTTTGGGAAATTCACGCAAACAACAAAAGCAAAAACTTGGGCTTCATGGGCCTTTAAACCAACATTTAAAAACTATAAGACCGTTTAAAATTTGGGCTTCATGGGCCATACTATTTATGTAACTCACGTTATTTCTTTCCAAATTGTAATATTCGGAATTGGACCTAATTTTGATACTCGAGATGATTCAATTCATATCACAAAAACATAACCTCAGTGGGAGGATAAAGAGAACGATTCGATTTCAAGAAGAAAGAGAATAATTAAAATCATTGACGACATATAATTTTAATTGACTCAAGTTTCTGACCATAGTTTATAAAACTCCTCCATCTGAGGCATCTCCTTGAAAAATGTATCGAACTCCGTCGTCGACTCTAATCGTCCTGATCCACCTCCTCCTCCGCCGCCGTAGAACTGTCTGGTATCTTCACCGATTTTACTACCACGGCCACCGTAACAACGGCTGTCGGAGGCGGATGGGGAGTCAAAAGGACCGGCGGCGACGATGGCGTCCTTACCTGTGAGTTCTTGAACAACGGTCTTGAAGCTACGAGCATCTGTCTCAACGTACTGTGTGTTTATGAAAACAACCTTCATCGGCTCCGATTTCACTTTCCCTCTTCCAGACATTACGTATGTATATAAAACTTATAGATGATATTAAAGAAACAGAAAACAAACAAGTTTTGAGAATGAAATGAGATCTTAGTGAGATCGTATATATCAGCGTTATAATTAGCTCTTCCTCTTGTCTTTGGATGCTCAGATGTTTGTATATTGTTTATATGCATAGTTGCATACTCAGGTATTTATATAGATACGAGAGAGAGACAGAGAGACAGAGATGTGAACTGATATAATCTTTTGTGGGGAGCACTGAACTGAGTCGTTAAATTAAAATTTTCGTATGACGTTTGAAAGCTCGTGCACGTACCAGAAATAGGTGACGACCTAGTTTTTTGTTTTCGATGACGTCATGATACATTCTCGACGACCAACTTTTTTTCTTCGAACATATGTCATTTTGATCGTATTCGTTGAATTTTCTAACTTATTTTATATAGCTAGCTCGAAGTCGACCAATATTTATTATGGTTCTAGACATGGCTTGCCAGTGAAGTTATACGATTGAATGGTTTTATTTTTTATACGACTAATTATGAAATTAAACGACTATATATATTACCAGTTTTCTTCGGTTGGTTTATCAATTATCAGCAATAGTCAATAATTATCATCAAGGATAATTTTACGAACTACTAATAAAACTAGCTCAATAACATAGACAACGAACTAATTAATTGTGTAATGTTTTTTGTTCTACAAGACTACTACAATCATTATACATTTAATGAGATCAATCGAAACCACACATTGCAATTCTTATGCATAAATAAGAAAGAAACTCATTGATCGTTGAGACATGTTGACCGTTAATTAATAACAATCCAGCAGCCTTGAAGGACCAAACATTAAATTATTTATATCACCATTATGTAATATCTATAAGTTCTATTAAATTACAAAAAAGAAAGGAAAAAATCATCTTACAACATTGTTTTCGTGGGTCAAAGTACGCCTTCTTTGATGAATCCCACCACATATTCACTTGAAAACAACAGCCTACGAAAATGTTTTATTGAAGAAAAAAAAAAACTTAGAAAGTATTTGCACGTGAGTAGAATTCGCACGTCCCAAACCCTATTCTCGTTATAACTTTAAAACAAAATAAAGTCGTCATCGCTCATGCTTCTAGAAGTAAAGTACAATGATGTGTCTCAACTCAATGATTATATTTTCTTTTCATGTTGATTGTCTTGTTTCCTGTTTTAGAACAGCATAATTAACTGTTATATGAAACATATATAATCTTTTTATATATATTAGTATTATGAAATCGAAATATATTCACTGTGAGGTACGTAAATGTTGACTATATCTAGTTATATGCATCTTCTGTTTGATTATAAACTCATCCTTAATAGACATGGTCAGTTACTTAAGTTTTTTCTTGTATACTATTATTTTGTAAAAAGAGTTTTTTGTCTTTCTTGTTTTTCCCATTTGCATTTTGTAAAAGAGAGATTTACAAAATTCAACAAATGATACAAGAAGTCAATGAGATAGTTACATACGATGTTTCATGGAAAGTTTAATAAGCGACCATCATTCATTATTTTATTGCCTTTTTATTTTTATTTTGACACATTTTTATTCATTATATTCCCAAGATTCTTTTCACAAATTGCAAATTAGTTCTTCGTACGGTTGTACCAGACAAAAAAAAAAAAAGAGGAAGAATCCCATCGTATGCAAATTAGTTATAAATTTTATTTCTTAATTTTGTGTTTTCATATGATGATAGGGACATAGGGTTACTAAATTTATTTATTTTTGGATAAAGGGTTTGATAACTTGATATGATGGGATTAGTCGAAGGTATTACCATTTATGTATAATCAATCAGGTATCATTACCTATAACTATAAGTATAGTTTTGTATATCCTAGTTTTTTTATGGACACACATGAACGACAAGATAAAGGCAAAGTCAAGTTTGGCAGTAACATGATCAGAGTAAGATTTTGACTGAAAAACTTGACTCAGACCCCTGAATGTTTCCTTTTTGAATTGATCGCCCTAAGTATTTTATAATATATATCAACTAATACAGTCCCAACAGATAACGTATATTATTGATTCTCAACAGCTTTCCATATAGACTAATAATTAATCATATATCTTTCAAGTTAAGATTGTTTTCTCGTCCGATTCATTATAAAACGGTTTATATCTAAAATACGAAAAAGCCAAAAATAATTATAAGAAAATAAAAAGATTCTAGATTAATGGTTATGGATTTATGCACATAATCCTCGCTGATTGGAAGATTAATTACATGTTTTGTGATTAAAAAAGATTTTAAATTAGTGAAAAAGCAAGGTTTAAACAATGTAATTTGACTCTCTTTTAGAAGATAGATCCTTTAATTCAACGCCATTCGAACTTGTAAATCTCAAAGATTTTTATGTTTTAAATTTTTTTTAACTATAGGTATTATAACTACTATACCAATATTACAAAATATTTAAAGATTGTTACGCTTTTGAAGCATTTCAATATTCTAAAGTATATTTCAATATTATAAAGTACTTCCATGTTTTCCTTAAGAAAATAAAGATATGTAAAGATATATATATAATATTAAGCTGATCAAATAAACTTTATTATAAATTAGATTTAATATAAAATAATAATATTTGGTCCACGGGCTCGCTATGGGGCTTTGGTAGCAGATTTCGCAGGATGGGCTTCTTTTATGGCCGGATATGAGTTTTTACTTTCTTTTTTTTCATCTTTGCTTTTGACGGTTTTAATTTCAAATATTTCATAACGATTTGAGATATTTTCAAATGCTAGTTAATTATGATAATTAACGTTTATTGGTAAGCGATATCAATTCAACTGTTAATGTATATATATAACCCGAGAACTAAATTAATGCAAAAAAAAAAATTAGAGTTAAAGAAGCAATTTATTGATAATTTGATCCCACAATTAATAGACAAGATTGTTGACAAAAAAAAAAATTTAATAGACAAGATTAATAAACAAGATTGGAACAATTTACCATATTTACTAATATATTGTTCATATACAAGGAATTATAGAAATAAACCATTATTATCAGAAACAAATCAATTTGTACTATTAAAGAAACACATTAATTTGGATGATTAATTAAGAAAAAATCTATTTTAACCAAAAATAACGGTAACAAGGATCAAGCCACTGATATAGCTAATGGTATCGAGAGATCGCACTAGTATATATACATTAAGATGATACTACCACTATCTTCACGCTCTCAAGTCTTACCAAAAGGCACTACAACTCTTTTTGTTACATTTCAATTCCAAAAAAAAAAAAAAGACAACTCGTGAATAAGAAGAAAGAAATGGCTTCCACTATTTCTGGATTTATGCTAATTTTATTCATAGCTGCCGTCGCAAGTAATAGCATTTCAGTAGCCGCTTCTACCGCTCTCGCAGGAAGAAAGATCTTCGATGTTAGAAACTATGGTGCTCGTGGTGACGGCAAAACAGACAATGCTATTGTAATGACATTTCTCGTTTTTGTTTTGATCCAACTAATTCAACATTAACGTTTGATTTATTGGTTAATTCTTACACGGGTTTGATTTTTATTTTTTTTGTCTTGGCTTCTCGTCTAGGCGTTTACAAAGGCGTGGAAAGATGCGTGCCAATGGAAAGGAAACTCTAGAGTGTACGTGCCATTTGGAACCTTCTACCTCGGTGGCGTATCCTTCACGGGTCCATGCAAAAGTCGGATTAGTTTCATCATCAAAGGAACTTTGCTAGCTCCTAAAGATGCTAACGCCATCAAACAAGACACGTGGATCATATTCAGGTACGTTGACTATCTCACGGTCTCAGGCGGTGGCATTCTTGATGGACAAGGAAGCTACTCTTGGCCACTCAACAATTGTCGCCTAACCCTTAACTGCCGGCCTCTACCTATGAACATGGGATTCCAATTCGTGAGATTCTCAAAAATCAACCACATCAAGTCGATCAATAGCAAGATGGCTCACCTCAACTTCTTCGCAGTCCAATACTTTGACATCACAAGCGTTACCATTAAGGCTCCCGGAGATAGCCCTAACACCGACGGAATCAAGATAGGTTCATCAAGCCACATGAAGATCCACAATGTTAACATCGGCACTGGCGACGACTGCATAGCGATCTTGTCGGGGACCACGGATTTGGATATCTTCAAGGTCAACTGTGGACCGGGCCATGGAATCAGCGTTGGGAGTCTTGGAAGGTTTAAAGGTGAGAAGAGCGTTCAGGGATTAACGGTTAGGGATTCCATCTTTAACGGTACGACTAATGGAGTACGGATCAAGACATGGGCCTCGTCGGGTACACCGAACTTAGTTTCACATTTCCTTTACAAGAATCTTCAAATGATTAATGTCGGAAACCCAATCAACATAGATCAACAATACTGTCCGAACTCACATTGCAACCTGAAGGTAACCTCCACCACAAGAAACAAGTTTTTTTGTTTTCTTGAGATGATTTAATTAGAATTTTTTTCTTGTTAATTGCAGTCGTCAGCTTCACAGGTTCAGATACAAGACGTCAAGTACAATAACATTTGGGGGACGTCGAAAGATAAAGTGGCCGTGAAGTTCCAATGTAGCAAGAATGCTCCTTGCAAAGGCGTAGAGCTTCTCAACGTTAACTTAGTGCACCGTGGACCTGACGGTCCAGCCACCGCTTTGTGTGAGAATGTTGGCGGTCGAGCACGTGGCAAGATTTCTCCTCAGTCTTGCATCCGTTGATCTGCAGTTTGAATTCATCCTATATAGTTCATCATCGACTTTTCTTATTATATAGTTTTGTAACTCTTGGTCTTGACACTCTCTGATCATATTTACTCAGTTAGTTTAGTCAAGTTGGAGCTATTCTAATGGGAACTTTGAATCCCTTTGGTTATGTCATATTTTATAAACTTCAATAATATTTTTTTCCTTTTGATAAAAGGTTTGAATTTACATTCTTTAATCATTTAAAGTTTCAATTGTATTCCAGTAACAAAATAAAATTCTTTCTCCATTCGTATTTGTCATTTCACTATTCTTATTTGTCATATTTTATAAATTTCAACAATGTTTCATGTTTGTCATTCAACAAAAGACAATGAGACATTGTATAAGAGGTAATTTCGACTCTCCTCCGAACCCTGTAATTTCTTTTCAGATAACTACTATGTTGATCTATAATTCTATATAGTTTAATATAATCAGATGCTCTGTTTGGAGTGCAGTTGAGATTTTCGTTATTTATAAGATGCTCTGTTTCTTAAGTGTGCATGATTTTATTAGTAGGTTGATGATATATGTGAAGTTTTTACCCAGAGTGCTTTCATTCAAGTGGATATGCCCTTTCAGCTTTATCTTCTGTTTCACCATATTGATATCACACATCCATCGCCCAAGTTTCTTACAAAATCGTTTAACTCAGTTAAATTAACGAGTACGTCAAGAGAATGAGATCGGTCTATAGGTTCATGAAATGGTTTGAAGATATTAATCTGAACTTGTTTCCTGGCGATCATTTTTTGTTTGGATTGTATTATAATTCGGATATATAAATGTATATGTAAAAAATATAGTGCCATAAGGAGATATATGTGAGTACATCAGTCCATGTGAGTATTTTTTTCAACCACAAAATGATGATCACCTATATACATGGGCCATCACTCGTGAGGAAGTTTTCACGTTTTAATTTACACTGCCTGACGAATATCTATCAACCAGGACCAATTATTGCTTGTCTCATCAAATCTTAATCCCATGCTGATCATATGCTAAATTCATGTATATGTGTATATCAAGATGACTATATATATCGTAGGATTATAAGTTAATATATGTCACTAAACATATTTAAAATTATTAATTGGTCACTGGACAAAAACCACCCTTGGACCAACATGTTACTTTTAGACTTTTAGTTATGTAATCATAAATCATTGATTATTGTTATTTCAGTTTAGTTCCAATCATCAAATGATTAAGTTATGAATAAAGAGGGCATATGGAGCCATTTACGTATACCATATGCTTTTGTGTTGTTTATTAATCCGAAGATCCGATACGCAGCCGACCTTTAATTTAATAATTAAATTTCTAATTATGGGATTAATTGTTTTCTTGTATGATACTATTAATTATTGAGTAGGACAAACTATTGTTTAATTAAACTAATTTGGTTTATGATGTGAATTTAAATTATTTAATCTAAATGGTCGCAAGAAGGCATGTTTAAGAGAACGTTATAATTATTAATAAAAGCAATTTGCAACCAAAGATCCGTTAGGTCGGTCATTAAGGGCTTAGGCAGTTTTTTCAGGTAAAGTCGGTTGGTCAAAACTCTCTCGAATGCTTCCATAAGACTATGCTATAGCCTATGACTATAATGTCTTTTTGTATACAAATTTTTTAGTTTATTATAATAATTTTCTCTGTTTGTATATTTTTTGAATTCAAAACTTTTATATATATATATTACATGCTGTTTCTTTTTTTTACGAAGGAAGTGGAAGCACTGAAGCACATGTTCGACAAAATAAATGTCAAAATTTTGTAACCATGTATACATATGACTGTAGCCTTTGAGCTAAATTACATTATTTAGCCACGAAGAACTATATGATTTTTGGGCATCATATTAAGCGTTTCATAAAAAAGGTTTAGTAGGTTTAGTTAAAGTAAACAAATAATAAGCAAGGACCATGTTACTAACAATAATGGTCATGCGAGCCAATCATTATTATTATTATTTATACATATAGCCAAAGCCAATCATAAAGTTTGTTAGTTACTAGTTGGATTAGTTAATGTAGATTGTTGGACCGACCGTATCATACCTTTCAATGGATATCAGTAAATCCAAAGCAACTATTCATCTATTAAACCATTATTTTTAGTTATAATATAGTTTGTCATTTGTATATGCGCACTTTTTCCCATTGGACAATAATAGGTATACATATATATGAATCTTGGGAAAAATCAAAGGGTGACTTGGTTTAAGCATGTGCTTCCATGTGGTCACATGAATTGAACCGTATTACATATATGAACGTACGTAACATATTGTAACTCTATAAGATTAATGCGCATATATATATATATATATATATGCATATATTCACATACTATATAGTTTAAACTTCGAAGCCTTCCGATTAGGGAAGTAGTATATGGTTATCTATGCATAATTTTCAAAGTACAGCCATAAAGAACAATAAAGTTTGGTGCTCGAGGTAGTCAAATTAGAGTTATAGTCTAATCTCTTTTATTTAGATGCATTTATCTAATCTTTAAACAGAAGATCATTTCAATTCAAACCTGAGCTTTTTTTATTTTTATTTTTAGTTTAGAATTTTAATGTGTTAAAGAATCCACATATTATAATTTGTGAGCGAGAAGGACTTGGGTAACTCATACAATACAATAGATAGTGATTAATCATATCATTTAATTCATGTCCAAAATTGTAAACCAACGATGTTGCGATTAGGCATGAGCAAAAGCTAACCTTAACCGTATTTTTAACCGTAACCGGACCGTTTATCAACCGTAACCGGACCGTAACCGTATAAAACGGTTAAAAATTGTAACCGTTAACCGTAAAAGTAAATTAGTTACGGTTAAAAAATAATAATAACCGTAACCGTTAATTAACCGTAATTAATCGTCGGTTAACCGTACGGTTAAACGCTCGGTTAACCGCATATTTAAAATTTTAAAATAAATTATATTATAACTGTATACAATACCCAGATTTAACTAATTCACTATAAATAATTGAAATCACATATATTTTTTACTTGTAAAATAAATCATATTTCATAAAATTTTATCTCCAATATTAATATTATAATAATCATCAAATAACCGTAACCGTATTTAACCGTAACCGTAATTAACCGTAACCGTATATAACCGTAACCGTCTTAACCGTATATATAATGATTAAGGTTATGGTTAAAAAATTATAACCGTTAACCGGTGGTTAATTAACCATAACCGCATTAACCGTAACCGTGGTCATGCCTAGTTGCGATCAATTAGAATACAAATCAAATGATGTTAATAAAAAAGATCTACTTGGAAAATTCGATCGTATAATAATGTTTCTTCATCAAAAACCAAAACATTTATATCACAATTGGGAGATTGGTTTAGAAACCTGGTGCTGTAAAAGATGGGCACCTGAAGCCATGCATGTTCCGTTAATTAAGAATGATATAAAATGATTGGTTAATGGTGTTGTAATTTAGTGGACTGTGATGCATCTACGATTGCTTCATTTGAATTTTCAAGTGGATGTTTACTCAACAGATAATGATCCTAACCAACCCACTTAATTAATTTAGTCACTCAACCTATTTTTATATAATCGAATCTCTTGTTAGAATCTTTCATGTATATATGAATTTATTCTGCATAACTCAATAATTTGTAAACACTTTTTAATGTTTATATATGCATTGTATAACAAATTAATAACATTTACATAGCATAGTTGTTCTCTAACTGGATTAAGTTCGGTTAACGAAAGTCCTCACACTGTTTTTTTTTTAAAGTACTCACATTGTTGGTACATCATCATCTCAGTTGTTATATTTGTTTGTTTTATGTTACGTGACATAAAACATTTTCTTTTAACGTGACATAATACATAACTACTTATATATAAAACATTTGGAAATTATTAATATATATCTGATCTCTTAAACTAGAAACGTTTTAAGCGAAATTATCAAATTTATACAACTTATTTTAACTTTTATGCTAAAACGTTAACAAAACAAAAAAAAAAAAGAAAGAAAAAGAAGAAGAGCTGAAACAATGTATGTCTCGTCAGATAATTACGAGACATGTGTCAATAATGTGGAAAAACAAGAAGAACTAGTGAGAAGACAATAGTACCCTTCCATCATCCATGTATAAGTAGCACCTCCTGTCCGAATATACTCCAATCAGACCTCACACAAACAAGTCACACCACAATTATGGGCAAAACTCATAATACTTGCTCTTGAAGAAACCAATAATAATATTCTCACGCCTAAAACACATCGTTTTATCAGAAACATCCATCGACTATGGCTTCTACTTCTACTACCTTACTATTTCCTTCTACTTCTACCCAATTTCTCGATCCAACTTTCTCAAGTTCTTCTTCTTCTTCTTCTTCTTCTTCGTCTAGACACAAATCTCTATCGTTTTCTTCGACACTCGGCAACAAGAAGCTACTAACCCTTTGCTCTGTTTCTTCCTCTTTCGACAAAACATCTCCCATCTCATCTTCTCTCCAATCTCCGACATTCACACCACCGTCTTGGCAGAAACTATGCAACGATGTCGCCAGTCTTATCCCTAAAACTACCAATCAAAATCCTAAACTAAATCCGGTACAGAGAACCGCCGCCAATATTTTAGACGCGGTGGAGAGCGCCATGGTTTCTCACGAACTCCGTCGTCATCCGCTTCCTAAAACTGCGGATCCCACCGTCCAAATTGCCGGAAATTTCTTCCCGGTACCGGAGCGACCAGTCGTGCATAACCTTCCGGTGACTGGAGCAGTACCAGAGTGCATTCAAGGAGTTTACGTCCGAAACGGAGCGAATCCGCTCCACAAACCAGTCTCCGGCCACCATTTGTTCGACGGTGACGGTATGATTCACTCTGTCCAGTTCGATAACGGCTCGGTTAGCTACGCTTGCCGGTTCACCGAAACAAACCGGTTGGTTCAAGAGCGAGAATCTGGTCGCCCTGTCTTCCCCAAAGCAATTGGAGAGCTTCACGGACATTTAGGTATCGCCAAGCTTATGCTCTTCAATACCCGTGGACTATTCGGATTAGTCGACCCGACCCGAGGACTCGGTGTCGCTAATGCCGGTTTAGTCTATTTCAACGGTCATCTCTTAGCCATGTCCGAAGATGACTTACCGTACCATGTCAAAGTCACTCAAACCGGAGATTTAGAAACTTTGGGTCGGTACGACTTCGACTGTCAGCTTAAATCCACAATGATAGCCCACCCGAAAATCGACCCGGAAACCCGAGAACTATTCGCTTTAAGCTACGACGTCGTTTCGAAGCCTTACCTAAAATACTTCAGATTCTCACCCGACGGTGAGAAATCACCGGACGTCGAGATTCCTCTTGATCAGCCGACAATGATCCACGACTTCGCGATCACTGAGAACTTCGTAGTGATCCCAGATCAACAAGTGGTTTTCAGATTACCGGAGATGATCAGAGGTGGTTCTCCGGTGGTTTACGATGAGAACAAGAAATCAAGATTTGGTATTCTGAATAAACAAGCTAAAGATGCTTCGTCGATTCAATGGATCGAAGTACCAGATTGTTTCTGTTTCCATCTATGGAACGCTTGGGAAGAGCCAGAAACAGACGAGGTTGTCGTGATCGGATCATGTATGACGCCACCTGATTCGATTTTCAACGAACACGACGAAACACTTGAGAGTGTTTTGTCGGAGATAAGACTAAACCTGAAAACAGGGGAATCAACACGTCGACCGGTTATATCCGAACAAGTTAATCTCGAAGCCGGTATGGTAAACCGTAATTTATTAGGTAGAAAAACCCGGTTTGTTTACCTTGCTTTAACCGAACCGTGGCCTAAAGTGTCCGGTTTCGCGAAAGTGGACATATCGACCGGAGAGATTCAAAAGTATATATACGGAGACGGGAAATACGGAGGAGAGCCTCTGTTTCTGCCTTCCGGTGACGGAGAAGAAGACGGTGGTTACATTATGGTGTTTGTCCACGACGAGGAGAAGGTGAAGTCGGAACTTCAAATCATTAACGCCGTTAATCTGAAGCTCGAGGCTACGGTTGCGCTTCCGTCGAGAGTGCCTTATGGTTTCCACGGGACGTTCATTAGTAAAGAAGATCTATTGAATCAAGCTTAGTGTTAATATTAGGTTTTTGAAAAGTTTAGGGTTTTATATAGAGAGAGTGTTGCCTGAGGGACTGTTGTGTATTAGTCCCCGGGAACGAGGCTCTTGTTTATGTATATAATTAACATTCCATTAGAGAACTAACTACAAGCTGAGAAAGAAAATAAAAAAGATAGTTAATTATATGGTGGATATAGTCTTGGTTGGGCTCATTCGTTTACTCGGGATAACTCATGATCTTGATTTATGCGACATTATACTTTGCAAAGGTTGATCTAGTGTTGGAATTTTTGTAGCGAAGTTTCTAATGATGTATATGTACTGATGAACAAAGAACTTATTGTGACGCCGCCTATAGATTTCATCTATGTAAAAGATGGCCCTGCTAGAAATAGTCTAATTAAGCAGAATTATTTCTATAAAACTATGACAAAAAGACCACTAATACTTAAAATAATTCGATCTAAAAATAGTCAAAATAGTTTACAGAACTAAGTCAGACCACCATTATCAATGGTACTCTCACTAACCATCTAGGAATATTCACGGTGATATTATTTTGATTATATGTTACGTAAAATAAAAATAAATGGAAGAAGCTTCTTAGAAAGAATGTTACCTTAGAAAATGGGAAACCCAAAAATATCTCATGTTATCTCTGTTTTGAGAATGGGGTCCCTGCTCCTTCTTTGTCTTCTTGCAATGATCAGCTACTTCTCTTTCTCTACTTTTTTTTCTTCTGCTTCCAATAATTGGTATATTACAAAAGTATGAACTCAGAAAATATCTTTTCTTCAAGTCTATGGATATTAGTGAGAACTTCAAATTGTAATTGATAGCACTCAAATGTTGAAACGCTATAAATTCGTCTAACTTCATTTAAATATGAAAAGACTTATCTTAACCTTCGCTCTTCAGTTTCATCATACGTGAAGATAGTGTAAACATCATTTAAACTTGTTCTTGAATCGGCTAAACAGAATTAGGCGTTAATATTCCTCATAGTATGGATTAAGTTATCTTGATGTGGTTTTTTATTTTACAGAATTTTACAGAATTACAGAATCATTATATTAAAATGAAAAATCGATATATATATATATATATAAGTATATATGATTTTGTTAAACTTTAGAAGGCAGCTAGAAGCCTAGAACTAAAACTTAAGAAAAAGAAAATACATTTATATATAAATCGGATTTTACTTCCTTGCTTTATTCATGGGTTTACGTCGAAGTTGTTGTGCACTGGAATACTGGATATACATCGCATAGTTTTTGACTTTGTATGATCTTTTATCCTACTTCTATTGGTTCTGACGCACGTACATAAGCACTCGCAGTTCACAATAGCCAATCGATAGATTCTACAACTGGAACATGTAATGCACTCCACAACCGCTCTTTATTCTACAGATAATGACTGCTTTGGGTTTAAATTTTAATTATTGCGTACGTGTCTTTCTTATATAGTTTTTTTTTTGTCCTCAGAGCTAGAGAGATCATAATAAACAAATAGCATCGACCGAGATAATAAGTATTTTATACTATAGTATACACCGTTTTTGTCTTTAAGATAGTATATTCACCAAAAGAAGTATATAGGCAAAAGTTGTCTTGGAATTTGACGCCTCGATATATAAAGAGAAATCAAGTGACGAGTTTGTAGGCAGAAGCTAAAAATGCCACGGTGTTACAGTACGTGAGTTCATTCGATGTTTCTAGATCAAAGTTCATTGACTATGGAGACTTCTGGATACGTATTCTAACCATTTTTAAATTCTTTTTTATATATAACAACTGTTTCTATCTATTTACTTATATATCTTAACGTGTGTGTGCTTTCCCTATTGTCAACTATTATATGATGATGTATCATAATCATAATAGTATGTGTCTACGTGTCGTGAGATATGGAACCCAACGCAAGCAAATCCAGGTTGCTTGCGCTATTTTCTTCTTCATGAAACAATCAATATACAGTATATGTGTACGTGTAATGAATCAATCAAATGATCAAACATTATTTGAGTACAAATAAAAATTAGGAGTGAAAAATCGTGCAAAATACACTTGATTTAATATTATTGATTTACACATACATACGCTTAGCTTTCCTATATAGATTAGAGTATAACTTCACATTGATATTTTTGAATTACAATAATAAAAAACGAGCAAAATGTCAATAAATAACTGATATATATTTTATTTTTTTTGGTCAAAACTGATATTTATTTTTTGGTGCGAGTTTAGATTTTTTTTTTTTTTTGAATTAAAGAGAAATAGAGGAGTTTTAAAAGAGGAAACAAAATAGTTTGGCCATAGGAGTTCTGAAGGGTCAGCAGGTATGGCCGTATGGATTGGAGAAAAAATAAAAATCAAAAGAACTCATTGCGAATATTATCAACAAATCGAAATTGATAATATGATAATATTTATCTTTTAAAATAGATACTAAAAAAAGCTATAGAACTAACACACAAGTTGTGAATCTTGTAATTCTTTTTATCAAGTTATATATACAAAAATTGATAATGATAAAATAAGGTGTTACATTGTTGCAATGTTGCAGACTTAAAATTTAATAACGCTGAATTAGCTGCTTAACAAAAATACACTGAAAGAAAAAAAAAAAAAAAAAAAGGCAGAAGATGTAGCAATGGCCATTAAAATTTTACGGTCACATAATCAAAGGATGAATAAACGTACTATTATTTTTATTTACAAGGTTTAAATTTTAATAACGAAAAAATGTAAGTTAAAAGTTAAAAAAAAAAAAAAAAAAAAACTTGAACTTGCTAAGAGGACGAATAAGTTTTTATATAATGATCTTGAACCAATCTTCAAAAACACTCCATTCGTTTTACAAAAAATATCGTTTTAAAATTTTAACTTTGTTTGACAAATAAGTTTTGTGTTTCTACTTTCTAATGCAGTTTTAAAAACTAAATATCTTTTTTAATTCGAATTATTTTAGTTTATTAACTAGAGAGAAGGTATTATATATGTAGTGTATTAATAGAAAGTAAAAATGAAATTTGTGTATTTTTAAAAAAATTATGTGAAAATGATAGAATAAGACTTTTGATGAAACGCGATATATCATTAAATACAAAAATCAAAGGATAGACGACGAAGGAGACAATAATTAAGTACATAAATGTTTTATCTACAACTTTGGGACTAATCGTGCCTGAGGAGCATCCCAATCAGTGACAATGTGGTTACGTGTGATCTCTTTTAAACTAGTGCACCCACTTAGTGCCATTGTGAGTTCGAATTCTTCTCTCATCATCTGTAGCACTTTCCTCACTCCGGCTTCTCCTTCCGCCGCCAACGAGAACACCACCGGCCGTCCGATCTATTTCCCAACAAAAAGATTAACAAATGGACGAGAATTGAAGTAAACTTGGTTTCTTGTATGCCAAGAACAGTCGATTAAACTTTTGGCTCTTTCTACTTACAAATATGCCCGAGGCTCCCAGGGCGAGAGCTTTGAAGACATCAGTCCCACGGCGAATCCCACCGTCTAAGAACACTGGAATCTTTCCCTGAGCTGCTTTAACAACCTGAGAACCAGAATCATCAAGAGTTAAAGTTACAATGATGAACAAACATCACAAAGTTGGAAAATAAGTTGATTTTTTTAGGTCTAATTAACCTCTTCTAGGGCTATGATTGTGGCTGGTACGTAGTCGAGCTGGCGAGCACCATGGTTGGACACGATGATACCGGCTGCTCCTGCTTGTACTGCCATCCTTGCTGCAGACCAAGAAAAGAAAGGTAACTTACATTTTTTTTTTTGAGATTCTTCACAAAATTTAAAATAATCACAAATGAAATTAGTGAAGAAGATGAACGAGAGTTTTGTGTTGTTGAGTTTAAGGGGTTTCTTACCATCCTCAGCTGTGAGCACACCTTTCACCAGAATAGGCAGCTTTGTGATTGTCTGAAGCCACTGCACATCCTGTATCATGAATCCCAAAGAAGATCAATCACAACAAGTTTTCTTTTTTATTGATCTGTAATAGTTTCCAAGTGATTGATGTATTGTTTTACCTTCCAGCTCAAGGTACGATCAATTTGTCCAGCCACGTAGGATGCTAGTCCTGAGTCATTTGCCTGCAGAATCCACCGAGCATGTTTAGGAAATTTCCTACTCGCATATAAACTACATGTATAGTCAAAGATGTTGTTACCTCATCCATCTTGCCGAGGTCAAGGCCTTCAAAATTCTTCAAGGTCAAGTAAGGTGGCAATGTAAACCTATTCTTGATATCAGATTCTCTGCGACCAAGCCTCGGTGTATCGACAGTGAGGGCGATTGCTTTGAAACCAGCTCTCTCTGCTCTTCTCACGAGCTGAGCCACCACGTTCCTGTCCTTGTAGACCTATAAAAACAACTGAATCTTGAAGCTTCTTAATTCACAAGCGAGTAATACAGCGCGAGCTGGAGCTTACGTAGAGCTGGAAAAAGCGGATTCCAGGTCCTGTCGAAGCAACCTCTTCAACGCTAGATGTCGCCCATGAAGATAGTGTCTGCAACAAGAGCCTAATGTCACAACCTCTCAAAGTGATGAGTGTCCAAAACAAGAACGGTTCAGAGTCAAACCATGATAGTTCCGGCGGCGGAAGCAGCTCTAGCCGTAGCATACTCACCTGAACACAACAATAAACGTAAAGATGAGAAATTATCATGCTCTGTTATTTTACTCTGTTCTATTTCTTGAATTCTCACCCTCGGGATGAGCCATCTTCTGCATAGCAGTTGGAGCAACCATGATCGGCATAGATATTTTGAATCCCAGGACAGTAGTAGTCATATCAATCTTGCTTACATCAAGCAAAATCCGAGGCCGAAACCTTTAAAGTAAAAGAGAGTAAGAAACATGGTTTGGTTTGATCAGAGAAGCTTTTCTTGATGAAACAACAAAAAAAATGGTTAAAGAGTAAACTATATCATCAAAAGCTCACAAGATTCGAGAGAAAGCGTTTCTGTTCTCTTGAAGAGTCCACTGGTCTTCTGCACCAGAAGCATAGTAATCATACACCATCTTTGGTAATTTCTCCTTAGCGATGGCTTCATACTCGTTAACGTTAGTGATCTCCATCTCCTCTTAAAAATTCTGATCTTCAACTCTTTTAGCTAATGTCTTTCACAATATCTGCTTAGATCATAGAGAACAGAGGAAAAGACAACAATATCAATTATTTATATACATCTGAGCAGAGATATACATACGTGTGTAAGGACAAGGATCTGTGTCAGAGAAAGCTCACCAAGTTGAGGAATAGAAGAGACTTTGGACTTGGGACTATGCTAGCTGCTGGTAACAGTAACTATTTTATATAATGGAGATTTTTTCTGCATGAGGACAAAAAAGCTTATTGGTGTGTAATATCATCACATAATGTACGTGAAGAGGATGAGAAATTGGAGGTGAGGATTTAAAAAGGAAACAGAACCAATCGAATTAAGAGAGTTCTTATCCAAAACAAACCTTTTCCATTATCATTTCTCATCCACACGAGAAAAGGAGAGACCATTTGTGACTTCTTCTTTTTAATTCCTTTTTAGAATATGTGATTTTATGATTGGTGTTTCATTAACGTGTATAGAGGAAATAATTAGGAGAATAATATGATTGTAAAAGCATAGTATTTGAGTGAGAGAAGGTTTCAATATTACAAGAAAGAGAGAAAAGGTGAGAATGACTTGAGACCATAATAAGAGGCTTTTGTATTTGTATATAACGTATAATTCATCTTTTCAATCCACGAAATCCACATCTAGAAAGTGAAAAGGGGATAACTCTATAGCCCCTCTTCAGAAATAAGAACTGTTGTTTACAAGTCCGGCCCAGACCCATTATTGTGTAGTTATAGCCCACATTACATGTCCGGCCCAGGACCATTATTGTGTAGTTATAAACGAAACAAAACAAATTAAGATGGAACCAAACAAGAACGGTGTGAAGTGTGAACTATATAGGAAATGACATTATAGGTAAGAGATGGGAACCCATATCGTGATCATTGCTGCCGACCAAGTTTGATACAGCTACGCGCAGTGCAGCCGAGCAAGTTTGATACTGTCACGCACATATGGCCACGTCAGTTGTAGAAACACAATGAAGTATCTAGAAAATCCAATTGATTCTGCCCAAGTACGTGTACGTTGTTCCTTCCACATATTTCTAAAATTTTGGTTATAATAAGCTCAATTTCTATTAATGGCACAATTTCAACTAATTTAAATATGATATTTTTTATAGGAAAAATAAATAAAAAGCTCTCATCGGATAAAAATTATATGCTGAACTAAAATGACTTTTCCATCAACACTTTAATTTTCAACAGAGAAAATTTAAGAAATTTCTAACATCTTAATTTTTATTATCTATCATTTTCTTTATCAAACAAAATCCACAATTTCCTTTGACGTCCGAAATCCAAATTTGCTATTATGATAACGAGTATTCGCGACATTAAATAATATATCCCTCCAGTAGAATTCTATAATCATCAGTGCATTGGTTAGGGCACTATTATTAGGAAGATCTTAGGGGTAAGATTTACCAAATCCAAATTCTTTAATACATATGTAGAAAATATAATCCAAATTTAACAACAAAATAAAAGCAATAAAGTAAAAGAATTTTTAGTATTACTTTTAAAATGTGGCCACATGCTTTTAAACATTTACAAGAGAGTGTGACGTAACGACTAGAGTAAGCAAAGATCCTTTGGTTTGGTATCACACACACTCTCTATAAATACCCTCAAAACCCTCTTTTATCATAAAATCTCTTCACAAGTGTCCAACCAACAAATCGAGAAAGACGTACAGTAAAGAAGCTCTCTTTTGTAACAATGACGAACGAGGTGATCCTTCTTGATTTCTGGCCAAGTATGTTCGGGATGAGGACAAGGATCGCGTTGAGGGAGAAAGGTGTCGAATTTGAGTACAGAGAAGAGGATCTGAGGAACAAGAGCCCTCTGCTTCTCCAGATGAACCCCATCCACAAGAAGATTCCGGTTCTCATCCACAATGGCAAACCGGTTAACGAATCTATCATTCAGGTTCAGTACATTGACGAGGTCTGGTCTCACAAGAGCCCTATCCTCCCTTCTGATCCTTACCAGAGAGCTCAAGCTAGGTTCTGGGCTGATTTCATCGACAAAAAGGTTACTAATTTCTTCTTGCCCTTGACTTTATAACTTTGAAATCGAATTGGGGATTTCTTCAAAATTGATACTTTATCTGAGTTTTGCAAGTGATAGGCTTTGAGAAATCACGCCCAAATTTTAGGGTTTTTGTGTCTGATGTTGTTCTGCGATTTAGGGATTTCAGAAACTGAGTCTTGATTCGAGTTCGTAGTTGAAAGGCGACGTAAAGTTTAGGTTTTTCTTGTGGACTCATCTTTGTGATAGTTCGATGTTATTATGTTTGATTGGGGGATTTCAAATACTTGTTTTGCTTTGTTTGGGTCAGAGTTCTGACTTAGCTCGATGTTTGTGTGCAATGGATCAGATGTACGATGCTCAGAGGAAGGTGTGGGCGACCAAAGGTGAGGAGCAAGAGACAGGGAAGAAGGATTTCATTGAGATACTCAAGACGCTTGAGTCTGAGCTTGGAGACAAACCCTACTTTGCTGGAGATGACTTCGGCTATGTAGACATTGCATTGATTGGTTTCTCCACCTGGTTTCCAGCATACGAGAAGTTTGGTAACTTCAGCGTTGAACAAGAGTGTCCGAAACTGACTGCTTGGGTCAAGAAGTGTTTGCAGAGGGAGAGCGTGGCCAAGTCCTTGCCTGAGCCTGAGAAGGTTACCGAGTTCGTCTCCATGCTCAGGACGAAATTTGTAGCTGAGTAGATCTGTTTCTTTGTGCGTTTGGTTATGATGCTCTCTGTTTTACTTTGGTGTGGTTCCGTTATTAAATAATGCAGAGCATCTTTGTGAGGTGATTTGGGGTGTAGAGAGAATGTTGTATCTTGTATACGCTCTGAGGTTTCATGTGTGTTTTATGGCTTGTCCTAGTTTGTGTCCAACTTGGTTAAGTGCGTGTTTAAATGAATGATCGTTAATATCTTGTGATTTCTTTGCACCTGTGGAGAAGTTTTCAATAATGGGGATATTATGTTCGGTTAGCACAATCGGGATCCGCATAAATTTGTGGGATTGATACAACTCGCACATCCCACATCTTTGAATTTGAGTTTAGATTTTGAATTAAACGTGCCCGTATCTATTGATGTAAAAGGCCCAAAATAAACTTAACCTTTTACCAAAAAAAAAATCAAAAAGGCCCAAATTAATATAGATGTAGTAGTCATCAGTTGGAATCTATAATATGACATGTACTCTGAGGTCAAAATTATATATACATATAAAATGTACGGATCATACACATACGATATGTATATTTCTTGATGATATATTTATATGTATATTTCTTGATCATGATTTACGTAAATGTATGGAAAATAATATCATATATGTATGGAAAAATCACGTGTTGAAAAAAAATACAAAAATCCCCACCTAACTGAAGTCTGAGAAAGAGTCTTGAGATATTATGAATTTATGATACAAACAAAATCGAGTGTTGAATTTATTATCAACTTTCATCAGTTGTTACCGATTAGTATTTAGTAATAATTATTCAAATTCGTACGGAACTAATATTAAAATGAACATGCTATTAGATGTTTTAGACCAGACGGGATAATGAGAAAAAAAAAATTATAAAGTTTTTTACTGTGTGAAAGCTTAATTTTTTAACCAAAAATAAATAAACAGCCGTTACGAAAAAACAGCCGTTACTCACACCAAAAAAATAATGCTTTTTTTTTAAAAAAGTGGATATGACGTATATGTATATGCTTATCTTTTCCCCTCTATAAAACAGCCGTTTAACTCACACCACTTGTTCATATCACTCACACTTACTTGTTCACTTACCCAAAAAAAAATAAAAAAAAAATCAAGAATATATAATTTGTGAGCGTTTCAGATATCAAAAGCCAATGGCGAACAAACCGATTCTGCTGGATTACTGGCCGAGTATGTTCGGAATGAGGGCTAGAGTTGCGTTGAGGGAGAAAGGTGTTGATTTTGAGTACAGAGAGGAGGACTTCAGCAACAAGAGCGCTTTGCTCCTCCAGAGTAATCCTGTTCACAAGAAAATCCCGGTTCTCGTCCACAACGGTAAACCGGTCTGTGAGTCTCTCAACGTCGTCCAGTACGTTGACGAGGCCTGGCCTGACAAGAACCCATTCTTCCCTTCCGATCCTTACGGGAGATCTCAGGCTCGATTCTGGGCCGATTTCGTCGACAAGAAGGTAACTATTCCCTTTTTGTATCCTAGTTTGAGTCTCAAACAGGACATATTGTTTAAGTATGAGTACTGTTTCATGTTTTCATTTGAGTTTTGTAATTTTTTTATGTGTTCATCTGATAAATTTTTATGTTATGGTACAATGGATACAGTTCACCGAAGCACAAGTGAAGATATGGATGAAGAAAGGTGAAGAGCAAGAAGCAGGGAAGAAGGAGTTTATTGAAGCACTCAAGATTCTTGAATCTGAGCTTGGAGACAAACCTTACTTTGGTGGAGATAGCTTCGGATATGTAGACATTTCCTTGATTACATTCTACAGTTGGTTCCAAGCATACGAGAAGTTTGGTAACATAAGCATCGAAGCAGAGAGTCCGAAACTGGTCGCTTGGGGAAAGAGGTGCATGGAGAAAGAGAGTGTGTCTAAGTCTCTCCCTGAATCTGAGAAGATTGTTGGATACGTTGCTGAGTTTAGGAAGAACAATCTCGGATCTGAGTAGAGAATCATATTCTTGTTCTTTTCTCGTCAATCTATGTTCTTTCTCTCTTCTGTTCTGTTTTTTTAACTTTGGTTTTCTGTGTTCCTTAATAATGCGAGCTGAGAGCATATATCAGAGTGACTGTGTGTGTGTGGTGGTGGCATGTATGCATCCTAGTTCCTAAGTATTGAATAAAATGTTTTTTTATTTAAGCGTCCCAATGTGAAGTCGTATTCATCAGTAAATTCACGAGAAAACTAATGTTGGATTCTTTTTGTCGCTTAGTCACTAAAATAAAGTTGGTGACCACGTTGCGATCATGCAAGTATAGTGGCCCTATGAAAACAAAATAAATTTAAAAAGTGTGTTGGGAGGACATGGCAGCCTAAAAAGCAGTCTCTCTAAAGTCTAAACAAACTCCACTAAAAAACACATCTTATCCATCATCAGCTCATCAGTTCCCTAACTTTGAGGTTTTGAGTGGAGACTCCACACACTTTGCGTTCTTTGTCACCGTTCAACTTTAACCAATAATAGAGTTTAGATGTCCTCTCGAAGTCGAACGTAAACTTCCATGCTTTACCAACTCATTTAGAACCTTTTCATCCACCACACCACAAATATGATGCGCTTGTGGTACATTTTGTTTTTGTTTTTAAAAAGCTTTTGTCATTAAAACAAAAAGAGGAATTTCTAAAAATAATATATAGATCAATACAGTTTTTTTAGTCAAGATTTCATATATGTATTCTCTTGATATATATATAATATTATGTATTAATAGTTGACATGCTACCTAACAAGGCTACGCTACCTAACAAGCCTTAGTAAAAGAGGAATCGAGAAGAGAAGAGCTTCACCGAGCGATCGCAAACAATGGGAGACGAAGTGATCCTTATGAGTTTCTGGTCGAGCATGTTTGGAATGAGGACGATGATCGCGTTAGAGGAGAAAGGAGTGAAGTACGAGTATAGAGAAGAGGATGTGATCAATAACAACAAGAGTCCCTTGGTTCTGGAGATGAATAAAATTCACAAAAAGATCCCCGTGCTAATCCACAATGGTAAACCGGTTTGTGAATCCATCATCCAAATCCAATACATAGACGAAGTCTGGTCCGACAAGAACCCATTCCTGCCTACCGATCCTATACAAAGAGCTCAAGCCTTATTTTGGGCCGATTTCATCGAAAAGAAGGTAACAAACAACATGGATGGTGGATTCTTTTTGAGATCCTAATCAAATTTTATGTGTATACGTGGCACAATGAACAGCTGTTCCGTTGTGGGAGAAAGACTTGGGCAACGAAAGGTGAGGAGCTAGAAGCAGCCAAGAAAGAGCTTATTGAAGTACTCAAGACTCTTCAGTCTGAGCTAGGAGATAAACCTTACTTTGGCGGCGATACATTCGGGTTTGTAGACATTGTGCTGATTGGATTCTATAGTTGGTTTCCAGCATACCAGAAGTTTGGTAACTTCAGCGTTGAACCAGAGTGTTCGAAACTGATGGCTTGGGGAAAGAGGTGTATGCAAAGAGAGTGTGTGGCTAAGGCTTTGCCTGATTCTGAGAAACTTTTTGGTTACGTTTTACAGCTTAAGAAGGTTTATGGAGTCCAGTAAGAGAAGATCTCTTCCATTCCCGTTTTCTCTTCTGTTTAGCTAATATTGTTTGTCTTGTGTTTATTTTAAAGGCGTACTGTAGAGAGAATCCATAGATTGTTAAACATACAGACAAATAATTATTTCCTTTTGATCTTATTCTTGAAAAAGCCACTACTTATGAAAGCTGTGTATAGCCTATAGTTTAAGGATACGACAACAATATTAATAAGATACTTGAATGATAAATTTACATAATGATACAAAATAATGTGAATTTGCGAAATCTCTAACGATCAAAGACTATGTCTAATGACTCGATCCAAAATTCGATTACTTTGTAAACACCGTATCATAAATTTGGCATTCAAGATATGATTTGAAATCTTATAAATTTAAAGGTTAATTCAAACAGCATATTAAATCTATGAGAAAAATCAAAATTTTAAACGTTTTAACAAATAAATAGAAACTTGAATGATAAACTTATGTAGCAATGCGAAAAAATTGAATTGTGAAATCTCTAACAATCAGTCTAATAACACGATCAAAGATCCGGTTAGTATTGAACACCATATTGCAAATTCCATGAGGAAATCAAAAGTTTTAAAAGTTTTTTTACAAATAAATTAAAACTTGAATGATAAATTTACCTAACGATGCGAAAACAAATTGAATTTATGGAATCTCTAACAATCAAGGACTATGTCCAATGACAGGATCCAAAATCCGGTTAGTCTTCGACACCGTATTACAAATTTAGCATCCAAGTTTTCATTATTTGAAATATTAAAAAAAAAATGGAAAATTTTGTTAAATAAGGAAAATCAAAAGTTTCTTTTACTAATAAATTTAGACTTGAATGATAAATTTACGTAACGATGCGAAACAAATTGAATTTATGGAATCTCTAACGATCAAGGACGATGTCCAATGACACGATCCAAAATCCGGTTAGTTTCCAACAAAGTATTGCAAATTTAGCATCCAAGTTTTCATTATTCGAAATTTGAAAATTTTAAAACTAATAGGTTCAACTTAAAAAAAATGAAAATATGGGAAATTTTGTTGAAAAAGTTTAAAATCCATGATGAAAATCTTAAGTTTTAAAAGCTTTTTTACAAATAAATTAAAACTTGAATGATAAATTTACATAACGATGCGAAAACAAATTGAATTTATGGAATCTCTAACAATCAAGGACGATGTCCAATGACACGATCCAAAATCCGGTTAGTCTCCGACAACGTATTGCAAATTTAGCATCCAAGTTTTCATTATTTGAAATTTGAAAAATTTAGAACTAATAGTTCAACTTAAAATAATAATTTGTACTTAGTATATAGTTTATGAAAGTTTTCAAGATTAAAAAAAAAAAAAAAAGATGAGCTAGAAATTGGACCTCTTTTTGTTCATGATCAAGGGCTTGTGATTACGGTAAGGGCTGAAGAAGAGATTGCTTCTGACGCTCCGAACGTGACTGATGAGAAAGCTGCTGTTCATATCTTCTCACATCTTCCCTCTTCGTACTGTCGGATCCATCCAGGCTTTTCAACCATCACCCTTCCTTGATTCTAAACAAATGAATCAGAGCAGAATCATCATCAATTTATCATCATCTTCCTCCATCTCGCTTCTCTCGTCTCTTCTCTGGTCAGTGCTTTGGTGAAAATTTCGAAAAGAGGATAGGAACAAATCCAACAATCAAAAATCTAAGATATCATAGATGAAATAGAAGCAAAGGAAGAAGAAATCGTTAGAAAATAAAAAAATCAAGGGCAGAGCCATGCTATTTCATCTTTCTCTCCCACTCTGTTTATTTTCTCTGGTTTGTGAAGTTTCATTCTAAAATGGTAATAATACTTATATATAAACTGGCCTTTTTTCACTGACAAGACACAAGAGTGTTTAGGTTCGGTGATAATCTAGCCGTTATTTAGGTTCGGGTAAAAAACTTTCTATTTTTTCTAGTTGCATTTGTATCTAGTTTGGTTACTACTTTACTAGTTAGTTACCGACTTAGTTTCCTTTTTTCCTTTTTTTTACCCTTTTGCCTGGAATCGTAATGATTTGATTTATTTGGCAATATATTAAAACCATTACTATTTCTGATTTGTGTAACAATGTGGCCTGCGTTACTGATCTTAGTTTCGATTTGCTAGTTTGAAGTTCTAATTAATCCGATTCACACGAAGACTCGAATCCATCAACGTCGTCCAGTACACTGGCGAGGTCTGGTCCGGACGAAATCCCTTACCCCAGAGAGCTCAGGCCAGGTTCTTGGTCGTGTTCATAGACACCAAGGTACCATATCCATAAATTCGTTTTGTTGTCTGTGCCCTTGATTACGTAATTGCCACAAGTTCGGAACTTGAGCTTATTTATGAGTCTGCGAATCTAATTTCGGGTCAGTGTCTTTGTGTCGATAGATGTTTGTTTCACCGTTGAAGCAGCCAAAGGAGGCTTTTTATGCATTGTCCTGATCTTTGATCTTGATGCTTCTTAATTCTATTCCCCTCTTGCCTGTTTATTTTATTTACTCTATTTTCTTGAGATCTGTTTTTTTTTTTTTGGTTAGTTCTCATTCTTGGAAACATCCGTGAAGCTTTCCTCTCTCTTGTTCTGTATCAGTCTTTTCTCAACGTAACTGAATCATGATTATATTGTTCAATAATGTACAAAGTCTCTTACTGGATTTTATCAGTTTCTGAGTATTAAAAAAGCTCTCTTGTTGATTGATTGGTTGATTCTCTCTGCAATCTTTATGCTAATGGATTCATCTTTTCTCCTTACTAGTGTTGCTGCTGCTATATAGGCTTCTTCACGCTTTTGTGTACATTACTTTTTTTTTGTTAGAAAATGTTTTTGATTCAATCAAGAAACCAAATATATTGATTCTTCACCTTTCATTAAAAATGAGATCAAGAGAGAAGAATCTACTGGTACTGAACTCATTCAGGCGATTAAAGGTGAACTTGATATACAGTAAGTTTCCTTCATTTATCTTGAAGATAGTTCCCTTCACTTGTTATGTTAATTTAATACGTTTGACACAGCTTACTACCTCTACTCTTGTAGTTTCCCTCATCTATTAGAGGTGCCATTAATCTGGTAGAGCTTCCCTCATCCATTGGAAATCTCATTAATCTCAAGAATTTGGAGGTTAGTGAATGCTCAAAACTGGTGGAGCTTCCCTCATCTATGTTTGGAAGTCTCATCAACCTCCATATATTAAGTCTCAATGAATGCATAAATCTAGTGAAGCTCCCCTCATCTAGTTGGGAATGCCATTAGTCTCAAATATTTGAATCTCAGTCATTGTTCAAGTCTCCTGGAGCTTCCTGAAGGAAATCTCAAAACAAGAAAGATTCAATATTTATTAAGATAGCTAAGAAATAAGATTTAGATTATTGTATAGAGAAACTAAGATAAAAGAGACTAAAGATTGTCACCAAGATACAAATGATTTTTGATTGCTCTCTTACAAAGATTAAGAAGAGAGTTACCACATGAGGCAACTCCGAGAGTATATGTCTTAAACAAGATAAAGAGATAAATGTTTTGAGTTCAAAATTGTATGAATTAAGCAAAAGATTACTGTCGTGTATTTTTATGAACAAGAACAGATAAAGCATATACTATTACTATGACGTAAGCAGTGGCCTAAGCATCTTTAAAACTACATTTAAAAAACATATCGAATTCGATAACATTAAGTTGACTTGTTTAACGTCGTTCACACCTTGCTTGCTTCGTTGTCTCTCTTAGCTTTCCAAGGTTCAATTAATTTTTCATTTTTGTTTACAGTACTCAATAATAATATATATACACATCAGCAGCGCAATACAAACTCCTAATTATAATTATACTGCTTTACCTCTATTAAGTAAGAATCACCGATAAAGAGTATACATCAAAGAAGAGATCCTTCTTTCACAACAATGGCGGATGAAGTGATCCTTCTGGATTACTGGCCGAGTCCATTCGGAATAAGAGCGAGAATCGCGCTAAGAGAGAAAGGTGTTGAGTTTGAATGCAGAGAAGAGAATCTGAGAGACAAGAGCCCTTTGCTTCTTCAGATGAATCCGGTTCACAAGAAGATTCCAGTTCTCATCCACAATGGTAAACCTGTCTGCGAATCCATGAACGTTGTCCAGTACATCGACGAGGTCTGGTCCGACAGAAACCCTATCCTCCCTTCCGATCCTTACCAGAGAGCTCAGGCCAGATTCTGGGTCGATTTCGTCGACACCAAGGTACCAATTTCAAAAACCTCTGTTTTAGAGTTTTTTCTTACACCTTTTAGGGTTTTGTTTCGTGGACTCATAATTGAGTATGTTTTGGATTTGATCTGTGAAATGGGGAGCAGTTGCTCAAGCCGGCGGATCAGCTCTGGCAAACAAAAGGCGAGGAACAAGAGACAGCCAAGAAAGAGTATATTGAAGCACTCAAGATTCTTGAATCTGAGCTTGGAGACAAACCTTACTTTGGTGGAGATACCTTCGGGTTCCTAGACATTGCCATGACTGGATATTACAGCTGGTTCGAAGCATCAGAGAAGTTAGCTAACTTCAGCATCGAACCAGAGTGTCCCATACTCATGGCTTCTGCCAAGAGGTGTTTGCAGAGAGAAAGTGTGGTTAAGTCCCTCCATGATTCTGAGAAGATCCTTGAGCTCGCCTATAAGCTTAGGAAGGAATATGGTGTCTAAAATTCTTATTGATTCCCCATCTCACGTTTCTCTGTTCTCTGTTTTTCTTTTCTTTTTCTTTTCTCTTTAAGTTTGTTATGTCTTCTGTGAATATTTATCTCTTTATTTTTATTTCACGAAATCAGATTTGTTTCTTGTTATTCAAGAATATGGCTCCTCAATTTAGAAAACTAACCAACTCACTCACTAAAAAAATATAATAGTCCAATCATTCAACCTCGCTTGTGACATACAAATATGAATATCTCTTAACAAATAAAAATCCCAACACAAAATATAAACTAAAATACATTAATCTAGTTTTAATCACGATTTGGTCGAATAATTATATATTTTATTATGGCTACAAGCAATTGCCTTAGTTGCTAAGCAGGTCCACTTACTCTGATCTTTTGTAAAAAAGTTGATTTAAGTGGAGAATTAGATTCGAAACCTTTCTTTATCTTGGCTCTATATTTACCACTCTCGATCTCTTCTTCACAGAGTCTCACCGACAACTAAAAATGGCAGAAGAGGTTATTCTACTGGATTACTGGGCAAGCATGTTCGGGATGAGGACGAGGATTGCTTTGGATGAGAAAGGAGTGAAATATGAGTATAGAGAAGAAGACCTGAGTAACAAAAGCCCTTTACTTCTTGAGATGAACCCTATTCACATGAAGATCCCGGTTCTGATCCATAAAGGTAAACCGATTTGCGAATCCATAATCCAGGTTCAGTACATCGACGAGCTCTGGCCCGACACAAACCCAATTCTTCCTTCGGATCCTTACAAGAGAGCTCAAGCTAGATTTTGGGTAGATTACATTGACAAGAAGGTTACATTTTTTCTTCTTATGTTTTTTTTTGTTTTTTTTTTGTTTGAGTTCTTTGCATCAAATAAATCAGTAACAAAGTAAGTAACGGATGATGTGCAATGTGTTGCTAAATGTTGTTTTGGATAAAATTGGGATCAGACGTACGGACCATGCAAGGCTTTATGGTCAGAAACAGGAGAGAAACAAGAGGCAGCGAAGGTGGAGTTCATCGAAGTACTCACGACCCTTGATTCAGAGCTCGGAGACAAATCTTTCTTTGGAGGAAACGAATTTGGACTTGTGGACATTGCCTTTATCGGATTCTACAGCTGGTTCCGTACGTACGAGGAGGTAGCGAATCTCAGCATCGTAGCAAAGTTTCCTAAGCTAATCTCGTGGGCACAGAGGTGCTCGAAAAGAGAGAGTGTGGCTAAGGCCTTGCCTGACTCTGATAAGGTTCTCAAGTCTGTCTCTGATCATCGGAAGACTGTTTTAGGACTCTGATCAGATTTCCCTGTTTCTGATTTGCTCTGTTTTCAATAATAGCTCGAAGTAGGTAATGTTTGTGTTTGGGATTCGACTGAAGCTAATCTAAGATCTATTTTTATTTTTATTTGGTTACAACTTCTATATTCTTTGTATGACAAGCATCAACGGTCGCTCCATAGTGTTTTATTTATAATCTTCGAAATATATTAATCATCAAAGATGAATAAAGACAGAAAACAAATCAAATATATGGTTAAACAAGAAAAAGAAAAAAGACAAAACTTAAAAGAATACAAGTTGTAAAAGTCTTTTGATGTAATGGTTGACAAACTATGTAGTGCTTTTACACTATGTATTGATCTCGATTTGGTTGTAATTTAATTTTATTAGAAGACTTAAGAAAGACAAATCATTAAAAAGATACCTATCGTAATGTAAAATATAACCATTTGTTGTTGTCTCGTATTTTAAAGTGAAATTGTTCATTGGTAAACACATGGTATAAGTATAACAGTTGTTTGAATTCGTAAAACCATGTCTTGTTACTTGTTAGTAGAACTATATCCGTTGTAAAATGGTCAAAACCTGGCCGATATATTTATGTAATGCATAAGTTATAGTTTGTGGTGTGTGATTTATATATATTCGTTGGTATTAAGCATACATGACATAAAACCAAATGGATTTTCTAATACTGATGTAACATATAATGATGATGTCCCAAGTGATATATGATAACTTCATGGATTTATAAATAACGCAAAATCATTTGATAGTGCATATAGGAGCACAGTTTTGTTTGTATTCGTCAAGTTATTAAGTAGTCTATTATTGGTGGTTCAAGATTGAGGGGGCTCGGACGAAACTCATAGTCCAAATTAAGATTTGGATGTTCGTTTCGGGAAACATTAGTGTGGCCCAAAACGACGACCATCTCAATCCGCAAGAAAGAAAAAGACACTACTACTATTCATATACTACTTTCGTCATGTCTCTATTAAGTATAATGTTAAAGTTCGAAACCAAAAAAAAAAACAAAAAACACTCAAACAGTCTTCCTTATAATTAAAAGAAATAAAAGAAAAAGACGAAATTTCTTTCTTTGTCGCTAACGTTAATGTCGTAGGAGAGGCAAAATTTGAAAATATAGGAGAGTACAAAAAAACAAGAGCCACGGCACCAAGAAGAGAAGAGAGAGTACGTTATAACATGGGGACTTGTACTATATGAGATTCCTTTAATTATACTAACGAGCACCTCTCCCCCCCACATTTATATATACTACTCCTTTATCCCAATAACCTTTTTTTTTTCTTTTTTGCTTTTGGTTGTACAATATCCAGGTGGTATAGTTAACACACTCAAGCATAATTTTCAACAATACTAAAATGCGATATTTCTTACTTAAGCATCCAAGAATAATCTACGAATTAGATTAGTAAAGAAGAAAAATCAAAAGTCACATTGATATTGTAGAGATAATTACAATGCATGGAATCAAAGATTATTCCAAAACTATATATATCGGTTACGAGTTTCTTAACCGTTTTTACTTTTCCGGTTAGATATCATCTTAAGCATGTATGACTTTTATTTCTTTTTTGTTGCCGTCAATTGTTGGGTAAAAATGAAACAATCCGAACTTTATCTTTTCGTTAAAAACCATAAAATAAAAATCTAAAGAACCTGACAAAGTTAGTTCTAAAGTAAGATGTAACCATATAATTAATATAAATGAAAAATAAAAAATTGATCAACGTACACGATTGATAGAGTCAAATAATTTACATTCACACATATCTATAATGTTCTTTTCTTAAGAAAAAAAATAAAAAAAAAGATATCACAAGCCATGCATGTAATACTAAATGTTATTTATAAAAACAGAAATTGTAAAAGATGGAATATGGAGTTTTATTGTACCAAAGCCCTCGGGAAATATATAAAAACTCATCTGCATAGTATTTACTGAATTTAGTCACAGAAAACCTAGAAACACATACTGTTACGAAATAACGTTTCCAATTTAAACTGAAATCAATTGTATTGAATGATACGTTTCAGTGTAAGTTTTTGACGTTTACATGCTTTTTACCAATACAAGAAGAATATTTCAAACATTATTTTATTTTTCTAAGCGAGAACCAAAAAAAAAAAAAAAAAGAAGAAGAAGAGAATATTTCAAACATTCCTGCACACAGAAAAAGACATTATTTTGGCCAAACAACACCCATTCTTATCAATTACATGTTGATCACTACTAATCAGACATTAACAGTGTGTACTAATTAGTAATTAGCCATTAACAGTGTTAAGCAGTAATAAATTTATAGGAAAATAAAATAAAAAAAGAGGTGCTAAAAAAAAGTCACGTGATAGCTGTCTGTCTCGTTCCGTTCACACAGCCGTTGGATAAGTCATTTGCTGACTCGGATAGGAGATTTCGGAGTAGTGCGAAGTATGGGATTATTACCCATTAGATTAAAAGGCTGTACGAATGTCGTTTTCGGTAATACTTTTAGGGGCTTTTGACCAAAATTGGGCGTTGAATAACCCGACCCGCTAACCCAAATTATTTGTTTGTTTTTTTTTTAATTGTTTTTTCCATTGTTGAGTTTTTTTTTTAAAAAATGTTATTTCTTTATGCTTCTTTGTCCCTTAGTGTTAAACTCTTCTTTCAGGAATAACAGAAATTTGCAGATTTTTTATTTTGTATATTATTAGCAAATTTTGTTTGAATGTGTATATACTATATTACTTACATGCTTGATCTTTTCTAGATAAACTATCCTGATCAAAAGTAATCTTAATAACAAACATTTGTGAAACATGTTTAGTTTAGCCAACCAAAAATGGTAAATTTACAATTTATATCACCATTTCCATAGATGAAAAATACATTTTACATGTTATCTTTACAAAAAAAAAATGTATTAGAGATTTTATTTTGTTTCATATTATAAATGTTTTGTAAATTTCTATATAAATTAAAAATATACTTAATAATTTTTGATCAATTATATTGTGCAGTTTTATTCACCATTGATTGAATGGTTTTAACTAATTCAAATATGCTCTGTTTTTTTGTTTTTTTTTTAACCTTAATGGCTTAAACATCTTCTCCTCTAAATATTTGCAGTTTTTTCTTTGCTATTTGCTTGACTTAAAAACGAAAAAATAAAGAAACAAAACTTGGAAAGAAGAGAAGTACAAGTTGGTAGGGAAAAATTCGAGTCTTTTTATTTGTCTCTTATTTATAGAAATGCAAATGTAAAAGCGGATAGTTTGGCACGACGAGCTCGTGTTAACCCGCATATCGCTAAATTTGTAAACAATGTTCCGTCTGATTGGTTCATTTGAGTCGATCTTTTAGTTTGAAGATGAAAAAAAAAAAAAAAAAAAAAAAAAAAAGGACACAACACTATGGTTTTAAATGTGGATTGATAATTCCCATGTAATTAACAAATACAACTACAAGTATTAGCATAAATTACAACTCACAACATCTTAATTTTCTTATAATAAAAACGGGTAGAACCGAACTAAATGCAGTAAACAGTATAAAGATTATACAATAACAATTTGAGTCACGAATAGAGAATATAATTGAAGGTTACAGTTATATACATGTTCATACAAACATATATAACATGCATTAAATATTATTAATTAACAGGCGCATTATAGAGAGAATCCATATATATATAGAACTCAAATACAGACAAATTATTTCCTTTTCATCTTATTCTAGAAAATTCCAATTAAAGCTACTTATTATTATTTTGAACCTTAGGAGTCGTATAGCCTATTGTTTTTATATAACAATAATAACATATCTCTCCCCTTATTTTTTTTTGTTCTTTAATTATAAATATCTTTTAATATTATCATTGGTGAAAGAACAAAAAAAAAAAAAAAAAAAGGAAGAGAAAAAGCCATTTCTTCTCATCAACTTCGTCTTCTCCATTATCTCTCTACCAAATCTGGCAGAGAAAAATAACAAAATCGAAGAGGAACCAATCTTGAAAGGTTTTTAATGGATAAGAGCTCTAACTCTTCCGGTGATTCCTCCGCCGTATCCGCCTCCGCAACGAGTAGTAGTACCGGTAACAATAGTACGAACAGAGATCATTATCTGAGACAACTCAATAAGCTTTCTCATAAGATATCAAAACCGACAAACTCATCCTCCTCCGCACCCGCCGCCGTGGATCGTGAAACGGATCATCTCCCTCCTCCGCCGCCAATTAATCATGGGAACCTCCACCAACATCAGCCTCCTGTTTACAATATCAACAAGAACGATTTCAGAGACGTGGTTCAGAAACTCACGGGCTCCCCTGCACATGAACGGATCTCTGCTCCGCCGCAACAACCGATTCATCACCCTAAGCCTCAACAGAGTTCCCGTCTACACAGGATCCGTCCTCCTCCTTTGGCTCACGTTATCAATCGTCCCCCTGGTTTGCTAAATGACGCTCTTATCCCCCAAGCTTCTTCTCATCACATGAATCAAACCTGGACCGGCGCTGGGTTTAACCTTCGACCTACGGCGCCGCTTTCTCCTCTCCCCCCGCTTCCTCCCGTCCACGCGGCGGCGGAATCTCCTGTCTCTTCCTACATGCGGTACCTTCAGAACTCGATGTTCGCCATCGATTCGAATCGTAAAGAGTTCTCTGGCTTATCTCCGTTGGCTCCTTTAGTCTCACCTCGTTGGTACCAACAACAGCAGGAAAACGCTCCGCCGTCTCATAACAGTCTTCCGCCACCACATCCTCCTCCTCCTTCCGCCGCTTCCGTAACAGTCTCGCAGACGGCGCCGACATCGATTCCTGCGCCTCCGCCGTTCGGATGTTTGAATTCGCCTAAATCGCCATACGGATTACTCTCACCAAGTATACTTCTTTCTCCAACGTCAGGTCAACTAGGGTTCCCGGTATCTCCGACGACGGTGCCGCTTCCTAGCCCTAAATACAAAGGTCATTGATCAGAAAAAGACGTCGGAACACCTCTTGTCGGTCAAATTCACAAACGTCGTCGTTTTGACCTTCGCGACGAAATCCCCTTTGTTCTTTTTGTACATCATTAGTGGAGTGGTGGATCATTTGTTTTTTATTTCTTTTTTAAAATTAACTCCAAATTACTTGAATCCTTTTCTTTTTTTAACTTTCTTTTGTTCCAATGTTTTTGTTCATGTTAGAAACAAAGAGTAGGAAAAAGAAAGGTATACACTTTTGCAACTCTACTAAATTCTTATAAGTTTGCCACATTTCATTGCTTTGTAGATCAGATTTGTGCACACTTGTTTGTTTCTTCGATTGGATATGCTCTACGGTAATGCAATTTGGATACCTATTCCAATCACTTCACTGTTCCTTTCGTTGAATTTTTTGCTCTGATGCTTTCACTTTCAGTTGAAATTTCAAACTCTGACGAGATCATTAATTTTGAACCTGTAGAAGTGTAAATGACTAACGAGTGCCTATACTTTCTTTTGAAGGGTATTTTTATATAATCAAACTGATGACTGATCATCTTCAAACCAGGTCAAGTAATTGGCTTCACCTTTACACATCCAGTCCAATAATCTAGTCTGCTTTTAAAAAATAGACAACAATCTACGCAGCAAGATGAGAGAGACAAGAGACTTTATGATCTTCAATTGATGAGAAGACAAAGCAAGGTTCGATTGCACAGACATTGAAATCGATAACAAACAAAAAAAAAAGAACAGAAAAAAGAGAGAAAATCAAGCAAAAGAGATAAAAAGGTGATTTGATGGTTCGGACTTGCCACAGATATGATGAATGAATAAGCTTGAAGATAAGCGAAATGGCAAGAGCGACCTCTTTAGATGATTAAGAAAACATATGGACGAAGGAAGAAAAGAAGAAATTCCAAACCCTAGAAAACTAGCAGTTTCACTGAAAAGATCACTGCTGTTCCTCGGTCGTCGGTTTTGGTGGCGGCGCTGCTGCTTCCTTGATCTCATCCGCAGCATCATCCTAATATGATCATCCACCATTACAGAATTTAGTCAACGAAATGGCGGAATCATCCATACTAAAAACAAAAGAACAAGGATTATTTAGACAAACCTGCATATCGGATGTCCAGAGAGTAAGGTTATCACGAAGAAGCTGCATGATCAAGGTACTGTCCTTGTATGATTCTTCACCAAGAGTGTCCAACTCTGCAATCGCTTCATCAAAGGCCTAGATAATAGCATTACAAAAACAAGACCAGTCAAATTCTTGTCCTTGAGATAATCAAAACAAATTATATAAATATGAGGTCCAAGTATTGTGGGAATTCCAACTCTTACAATTGGAAAATTGAAAGATGAGTGGATTCAAATACCTGTTTGGCGAGGTTGCAAGCACGATCAGGAGAATTGAGGATCTCGTAATAGAACACAGAGAAGTTCAATGCAAGACCGAGACGAATTGGGTGAGTTGGAGCAAGCTCTGCATTGGCAATATCCTGCATAGAGTATCAACATATAATGATCAAAACCCAATAATACAATCTCCAAGATCTTATTCTAGTCTAGTCCGAACTTAGAGTTTAACTCTCACATCATACAGTAAAACCTAATGAATCAGTATCCACAGATAGACAGAAAAAATTCAAATAAACTAGATCTGAGATTTGGAATTGTGAGAGAGGACAAAAAGCAAAGCAAACCTGAGCAGATTTGTAGGCGGAGAGGGTGTGTTCAGCGGCGTCTTTCCTCTCTTGACCAGTCTTGAACTCGGCCAAGTACCGGTGGTAATCTCCCTTCATCTTGAGGTAAAAGACCTTGGAATCACCGGAAGCAGCGGCGGGGATGAGCCTAGAGTCAAGCAACTTGAGGATTCCGTCGCAGATTCCGGAGAGCTCCGTCTCGATCTTAGACCTGTAATCACGGATCGCGGTGACGTGGTCTTCGTTACCGCGGCTCTCTTCCTTCTGCTCGATCGAAGAGATGATACGCCACGAGGCACGGCGAGCACCGATGACGTTCTTGTAAGCGACGGAGAGAAGATTTCGCTCTTCAACGGTGAGTTCATCGCCGTCAACGGCGGCGGAGACTTTCTCCATGAATTCAACCATCTCTTCGTACCTCTCCGCTTGCTCAGCGAGCTTGGCCATGTATACGAACTCTTCACGCGCGGAAACCGCCATTGTTGTTACTGTTCCTTGAGAGAATCGATTCAAAGAAGAAAGAAAAAAGATCTGAGATCTGAGATCAAAAGAGAGAGAGAACGGTTTTGGAATTGAGAATCGGTGTGTGTGTGTATAGGTCAGAGCGAGAGAGAGAGAGAGAGAGAGAGGAGGATGAGAATGAAATTGTGTGTTTAATGACTTGGGGGAAAAGTGATAAATGCGTTTTAGAGGAAAAGAGTAAAATCTGGAACCAATATTTTATCTGGGCCGTTGGATTCGTCTCTTCTATTGTATTTGTGGCCGGTTCTGCTTTTTTAAAGGGGAACTTTTTTTTTACTCTTTTTAACCTCAAATAGAAGAAAAACTTTATGTAGTAGACCAAAAAAAAAAAAAAAAACTTTATTAAAAAAAACACATTGAGAACAAAATGGTAATGTGATTTGATTTCCACCCAAAAAAAAGAAAGGTAATATGATTTATGGAAATGTTGGGTCGTTAACAAAATTAATGGTGACTAGATTTTGCTACTATTAGTATTTGTACCCTGTTGGGTTATAAGGAAGAGTTAAAAGTTAGATGTTGGTTTTTAAAAAAAGTTGTAGGTGTGAGTGGTTACAGCGGTTTAGTCGGACAAAATCATCTATAGACAAGATTATTTTTTATTTACTATTCACTAATAATTATATATGTAGTAGTGCGGTTTCAAAGAAACAAAAGAAAACTGCTATTGCATACAGTTTTTATGTACAAATAGAGTTGCGGTTTGTTGTCCGTCTCAAGACTAAAACGCCGATAGATTTATCTATTCCGATCTTTTGCAACCATCCACGCCCTCATATTTTTTCTACACCAATTCTGTGAAAGAAAACGAAAATCGAGTAGTATTATTAGATTTTGGATACAATAATTGAAGCAAGTTGGGTTAACAAAAAATGGAGACAGCTAAGAGGAGCCGGGAGGGACGCATGTGTTGTGACTTGTGAGCATGTCAGGGGATCCAAAGGACTCTTTCTTCTTCTCTTCGCATTCTCGTGGTCGCTCCTCATAACGTTTTTTCCCTCAATTTTTTTTTAATAAAACTTCGGTTTCGTAATCTTTTTCTTTTAAATCTTGAAACGTTCAATTAAATCATCTGTTCCTAATTATGTTTTTTGTATACGTTACTTATTAGTAGATACTAGTGTTAATCAAGTCAATCGTATTTGGATGCCTCTCTTCGAAATTATATAGTAAATGTAAACTATATATACAACGAATTAAGTTAAGAATAGCTAGTGAGTAGGTATCGTCGTATCGACGATGCATTGGCATTTACTAACTAAGTATATAAGATTTGAACCATGGAAGATTGCATCCACTAATTAATCGGAAGGAAGTCTCTTGCATGCTCTAGATAAAACAAGGGTTTTAACTTTTAAGCGAAGCTATAGACTCTCACGTACGGTAGAGGAACATATATCTATGTGGAATACTTCTTCTCCGGAGTTAATTGGTAAGTATCCGGAAACATTACATTCGTTCCTGGTCTATAGTTCAATTCAACCTCACACGATGCATGTCGTTCGAAGCACACTTACGTCCATACATATAAACTTACGTCCACCACCGACCAATGATAAAAGTATGGTCCAAACTTAGAAATATAATAGTCTCTTATCTTTGTGTATGTATAGAAGAACGGTAATAAATAATAAAAAAGAATTATGTCCATGTACACTGATCATCATATGTATGTGTGTATATCTACAAGTTTCTTTTAGGGTTTTTTTTTTTTTTTTTTTTTTTTTTTTTTTTTGGGTTAGGAACGCTTTCGAGCTCCGTATGTAAATATAATGATATCTCCGAAGCTCCCCCTGCCAATAATTTTAGTTATCTTCTTCTCTATTATAGTTCTTTTTAATAAACTTAATTCGTCTTGATGCGATCGATATTAATTGTTGTTTGTAATCATGTTGATTACTTTTTTTTTTACTTTATTTGTTTGTAGGAAATAAAACAAAAGAGTTTACAAATTACAATAGTCCTCTATGGTTTTACTTGCATAATTATACTTTTATCGTAATTTCTTATACATAACACACTTCTCAAATAAAAAATAATTAATAAACAGTTTTAAAGTTAAATCATTGATTTTCTGTCGTTTTCCTTGTACGAAAAAAATCGTTTTCATCTCATTTTGTTTCCTAAGGTCACAAAGAAAAATGATTGAAGGTGGAAAACGATTTTTAAGCATTAAAATTCCTTTGTAGACTCGAAATTTTTATTAGAAAAAAATATTGAGAGATAAAAAACAATTTCTACAAGGTCGAAATCAACCACATGTGCAATAGAAACCCCACGACACGACATTCTTTAATTACTAAATATTTTGTGAAATTATAGCTATAAAACATTACGGTATTTACGATTTTAAGGAAAACAAATAATTGGCAATTTTTGAAAATCCCACCATATTTTGACACGTGTCAAATTCTGCATGGATACTTCCTCTCTCACACAAGTCACAAACAGAGTCAAAAGCAGTGACTCTCTGTTCCAAAAGCAAAGCAGGTTCCCAAGAAGATCAAATCCTGAAATGTGCGATCCATCTTTAATCCCTTTGTGTTATTACATCACTTCCTAAAATTCCGGTTTAAATTATTTCTTTCTGGAGATATACTTCCAAAACAAAGTTGGTTCCTTTTTCTTGAAGTTATCTCTTCACTTTTCTCACTTCATTCAATTTCATTGGTTCTTCTGTCTTCTGAGCAAGAACAGAGGAGCTCTGCTATTCTCATACACACACACATGTTTGTTTGATTTCATCTTTGTTTTTGTCTCTGAAAAGTGATATTCTGTTTTTTACTTCAATTGACTTTTGAAAGAAACAGAGCATATATATAGAGAGAAACAGAGCAGCTCTGTTTTTTTTGGAGTTTGTAAAATTATGGAGAGATATGAGATAGTGAAGGATATTGGTTCTGGTAATTTCGGAGTAGCAAAGCTTGTTCGTGACAAGTTCTCCAAAGAGCTCTTCGCTATTAAGTTCATCGAGAGAGGCCTAAAGGTCTTTTTCTTCTTCTTTTTTAATTAGCTCAGGGAGCTAATTCAAGACTATATATATCTTATTATGTTGATTTTCTAAAATATGTTTTGTTTTGTGATTGTTTATGAAGATTGATGAACATGTACAAAGAGAAATCATGAACCATAGGTCACTCATCCATCCTAATATAATAAGATTCAAGGAGGTATATATATACACACACAACAATTTGTTCTCTTTTGGGTTGATTTTTCTATTTTCTTTCTTAAAATTACAAAAAAAATATAATTGATAAACTGTATGAAAATAAAAAGGTTTTATTGACGGCAACACATTTGGCGCTAGTAATGGAATACGCCGCCGGAGGGGAACTCTTCGGAAGAATTTGCAGCGCCGGAAGATTCAGCGAAGACGAGGTCTTTCTTGTTTTGTTTATATTGATTGATTTTGTCATCATTTATCTAATTCTAAACAAACATTGATGAAAAAGTCTGAAGTGTATGTTTGTGTATGAATGATTGTTTCAGGCAAGGTTCTTCTTTCAGCAGCTCATATCAGGAGTTAATTACTGTCACAGTCTTGTAAGCAACATTCCAAAAACAAATCACATTTTTTCTCTCTTCGTTTTGCAATGAAAGTTTTAAATTTCGAAGTGTTTATTGGTATGGGAAAAAATGAAGGAGGTGTGCCATAGAGATCTAAAGCTAGAGAACACTTTATTGGATGGAAGTGAAGCGCCACGCGTAAAGATATGCGACTTTGGGTATTCGAAATCAGGAGTTCTTCATTCGCAGCCAAAGACGACAGTAGGAACACCTGCTTACATTGCACCTGAAGTGCTCTCCAAGAAAGAGTACGACGGCAAAATCGCTGATGTTTGGTCTTGTGGAGTCACTTTGTATGTTATGCTTGTTGGTGCTTACCCTTTTGAAGATCCTTCCGATCCTAAAGATTTTCGTAAAACCATCGGTCGGATTCTCAGAGCTCAGTATTCTATTCCTGATTATGTCCGAGTCTCAGATGATTGCAGACATCTTCTCTCTCGCATATTTGTCGCCAACACTGAAAAGGTATATATGCATGTTCTCTCTCAACTTTTTTTCTGTTATTCAAAACGTTCGTAATGATTCTTAACTATTTCCATTTCGACAGAGAATAACAATAGAGGAAATAAAGAATCATTCTTGGTTTCTCAAGAATTTGCCCGTGGAGATGTCGGAAGGATCACTGAGGATGAATGGTCCATCGACTCAGACAGTGGAAGAGATAGCGTGGATCATTGAGGAAGCTCGGAAACCGATCACTAGAGCTAGTGGACTCACCGGTGCTGGTGGTTTCGGTGGAAACAGTATTGGTGCCATTGGAAGTAGCAGCATGGATCTTGATGACTTGGCCACAGATTTTGACGACGACATCGATGATGCCGCTGATCTCCTTTCCCCTTTATGAACAATTTTATTACTAAAACAAAAACGCCAAAGTTTGCATGTTTCTGAAGCTGATATATTGATACACACAGACGGTGAAATAAATTGTTTCTTTAAAGGTTTAAAGTTAATATTTGAGTGCTTTGATATTACAAAAATGTTATCTATTAGACATGTTTGTACGGGCATGTTATGTAAAAGAACCGAATCACGTTATAATTTCTTTATACTTATATATCAATTGAGTTTTCTATAAAGAATTCTCTGTCACTGTTAAACAAATACTTTTTTTCTGCAATTTGCCAAATACAACACAACAACCAATTACTGCAGTAACAAGAATTTTAAACGAAAACAGAGATCAGTAGCTGTTAAGTAGATTCCAAACAGTTTGCTCAACTTGTTCCCATGATTCAGCTGTCCGAAGTTCATCCCAAATACTGAACATTGCACCCAACACATTCTCTTCATGTAATATACAGTAACACCTGCAACCAATCACAGTTACAGATCATTCAGATCAACAAGCTTCAAGGCTATATCCTTAATCATGCTTATAACAAGTTTACGACTTACATTGTGCGGTAGGAAGGAGACAATATTTTCTTCCTTGTACTGTCTGTTGATTTTGTAGTTCCATTCTCCGGTGACCTACTTCTGATTAATGGAAGCCCATAACTTTCTAAAAGCTTCTTGAAAAGATCTGTGTCTCCTCTAAAGACGTCCAAGTATATTGGTATCAAGTCGTAGATGGGATCTCCTGCAATTTCCTCACTCTTTCAGAAAACTCTCCAAGAATGCCCCAAATGTCTCCGAAGTTGGGCATTTAGTTTATGAATTAGAGAGAAAAATGTACCTATGGATAAATCGCTGAAGTCTAGAATATGACTGGGACGCCATGAATTGTGTTGACCATCAACTGAATCACCTGTATATGGTTCCATGTGAATGTTGTCATCCATGACGTCAGAGTGTATCCAGGTGCAGGGCTTGATTTCGTCTCCACCATTTGTTATGTCCTGTGATCCGAGAAAAGGTTATGGTAATTCAGTTTTAAGAAGGTATAGACGCCTGAAAAGGAGAGAGAGAAAAGAGGACCTTGAAAACATTGAGTAAATCTACAAAAAATTCATCGGGAATGTATTCGTCTATATTGTTCATCAGAGCCCGCGGAATAGGATTTCCCCTGAGAGGTTCAGACCAAATAATAACCATTATTAAGTCTTTTTAGAGCAAAAGCAAATAGAAGCAGAGCCATATTAGGCAGAATTTCAAGAAAAGTACCAGTTTTCCAGACGGCCAGTGACGTCTTTCTTCTTTTGGGACAAAGCATCGACAAAAACTTTCCATTCTGCTGGAATGTTCAACTCCTCGTGAACACCATTTACATTTAACAACTCAGGACGTGTGACTGGTGGATATGGCAATAGATGAAGGTTGCGTAGTTGTTGTCCCAGAAAGGATGCCAAGTTCTGAGCGTCATTCCACGTCAGATCATCTCTTCTGCAACAACAGCTTAGAGTTAGAGATCATGCACTTGGTTTAAAATATGGACTCGCGCTTGATAAAAACAAGGAGAAAAAGAGCACTCACAGCTGGGCAAATATCTTTCCTTTGCATCTTTTGGTTATAATATACGGCCAAACATGTGAACTCAATGAACCAAAAGAATCGGGTGCTGGCTTCCCCTGGTTTCTATGTTCACGTAGCGTTTTGTTCCAAATACCAAATGGGTATTCACTGTTCAACATTGATGCATCAAAATTGAAATTGGAGCAAGAGATTATGTCTGGGATTCTCTTGCCATCCCAAGGGACAACTTTGTATGATCCTTTTTCAAGGAAAAGAATCCCGCTTGCTAGAACATCAGGAATATGTTTTTTCAAAGGAGAATCAGCCCGACCAAGAATGTCATAGAACTCAAGCTGCACAGATGAAGACAGAGTTATAACTTACAATCATAACAATTGCACATGGGGTGCTCAAATTTTTTGAATATATTACTTGCCTCAGTTCCAAGACCATACATAGATTGTTCCAGCCCTCCTTCAACAAACAGTTTAATCGCATAGTCAGAGAGCAGATAAACCTGACATAAAATATAAGAGAAGTCAGATGCATATTGGTGAAATAATTTGGAATATTGGGGAGTCATTTCTGCGAAAGGTTTCTAAGAGGGACAATCTACTCACAGGGTTGCTACCAGTTCCAACTGGAAGCTTTTCTTCTTCGGTAACTGACGGCAGGTTGTGGAAAGTGCATACTTCCTCTAGGCATCGCAACCATTTCTCAGCATTTAAGGCAATGCATGCTCCCTAGCACGGCAAACACAGAAGACAGGATAAGACTTAATGATGGAGAGATACTTATAAAGCAATGAAAGTAAAATTACAAACATTAGGTCTACCTTCCATATTAGTTCTCTCATCTCAGGCTTCAGAACCCAGAGCTTGGATAGCCAGGCTCTCATTTCTCGTTGACCTACAGAGTTCCCCATAGACCAGGGGAAATTGTAATGATCTCTTTCTTTATCAAGAAAAGAGGCCAGGAAATCAATATCATACGAGAATCCATTCTTCCACATATTGTATCTCTTGGATACTCCATTCGCATCCTCTTTGTGTTTTTCAGTGTCTGACCATCCATTCATTCGTGTCCTCTTCTCTTTCCTGGTAAGATCAGAATAGCTCAAAGTACTGTCGTCTTCGTTGTGTGTTTCATTTTCTGAATCTTCAGAATTTCCATCATCAAGAGCAAGAAGGCCAGCACGACAAACCCCTTTGTGATGGTAACCAGGCGCCATATCCAAACATACAAACCCAAAGTTTTCTTCGTTCACAAAATTCTGGGTAACAGCCACTGTTGGTTCAAGATTAAGAATACAGTGCCACCACCCACTTGGAACATATATCGTTTCGCCAGGTAATAGTGTGCATTCAATCGGTTTGTCTTCGTCAGCAAGGAGGGGATAATAGTCTAGCCACCACTGTTTATGGATAGAAAACTTTCAACTAGATAGAGTAAAAAACAATCAAAATGAAAATGCTTAAAAAATTCAGCAATATACCTGCAGAGATGAGGGGGTATCGATGCTGACATCACCATCATCTTCATTTACATGAACTGTAACACCTAGAGGCAATTTTCCAGGGGGATACAGTGCCCACCTATTCATAACATAATGACACATCCTCAGAATATAGTATCACCCGATTCCATTAAAGTAATGGAGAATAATATTGCAGGAAACAAGAACTTAGAGCAGAAAGAGAAAAAGAAATATATGTAATTATGTCCACAGAAGTGTCTACCTTTTCCGGCCACAAAGCAGGGTGTTCCAGGCGCTGGTGAGAGCTGGATCGACATGCCAAGATGCACCAGACCTCTCAGGACCAACTATAAGCCATCTGTATGGTGGACGACTTTCTTTGTCTAAGATCTCAAACCAATCTTCTTGAAACAAAGAAGGAACACTATAGTCTTTCAATAATTCAGGAGCAGCATCTCCAAACTACATGAAATGTTGAATCCATAAATCCATGGGCCAAATATTTACAATTTGAAGCTTAGGTTATGCTACAACTCTAACCCTTATGAGAAGAAAGTTTTGTATTAAGTTACAAAGCTGTTTCTCGTACCTTGTCGTCAAAAACGTATAGAGGATCTTCATCCCGCTGGAGTTTCATATACGAGATGTAATCCTTAAACTTCATGGAAATTTTGTTGGGACTCCTCTGAGATATCCTAAATGGGACCTCACCATATTTCTCTGATAGTTGGTCGATTGTCCACGTATTACTGGCTGGCCAAGAATCAGCAAGGCCAGAAAGCAAAACCTAAACCATAGACAGGAACAACATCACAAAAATTAACATGTCTGAAAAAGTATAACAGAACAAAATCTCAGTTACTAGCACAACAAGGCATAACCTTGTTATATATACATGAATCAAAAGATTGGAACTTACAGGTTTCTTAGCGTCGTATTCCTTGGAAAACTCACCCAAGGAGATATCTCTCCTACGTTCCACATTACCATCATCAAAAGAGAACCCGTCAAGAGATGTATTACACCTATAGAATCGTTTATACAAGTACAAGGAATTGAATCCTGCACAAGAGCAGAACCAAAATGAGACATCTCGTAAGAGAATGGAACAATCAGAAAAGTCATAAACGAGCATCAATCAAATACCATCAAAATGCAAAGGTTTCCTGTATGCATCATTATCTTGAGCAACTCCTTCTCTGTTATATCAGAAAACCATTCAGTCAACACTGGTACATAAGCACAAAACTCCAGGGAGAGTCTACAACTCCCAACATTATCCAAACGTCACATATCCAAAAACAATTTGTATGTTTCATTGACAATTAAAAAAAAAAAGGGAGGAAAATAAAAAATACTTACAGATGCAGTGTCGTTTTTTTCCAAGAACCTTTGTATTCAAGAGGACCTTTTGCTCTTCTGAGACACAAGCTCATCCATAATGGTTCTTCGTTACAGAGAATATACATAACACTGCGAATCAAACATAATACATAACACTGTTAATTCATATCTTCATAAATGTCCTGAAATCAAAATCCTGACTTGCTCAGAATGCGAATTTATCTAACCTGCTGACGCAAGCGAGGTGGGCGATATCTCTCGGAGCAAGGTATTCGAGAAGGACACAGATGGTCTCATCTGGGAGGACACTGAGACTACCGAGAGCCTTCGGTCGGCGATCTCTCTGTCCTAACGTCGTCATTGGTTACAGATTTAACGAAATTTCGTATTCTCTCTGAGATCTGGTTCTTATCTTCCTGGATATTTGAACTCCCGGCTTTTTCTGGACAATCAGATGCGGTGGCGCGTGATGATTCCGAGTCTCGTCGTCCTGAGGTCACCGAGTGCGCGTAAATGCCTTGGCGCACGTTGATATCGAAATACCGTTACGGTGTCGTTTAGGTGATCGAATCTGATAAGAGAGGCTTCATCGCGTTTAGCTTACGCAAATCGTTTTTTGTAAAGGGATAAAACGCGGAAACGCGATTTTTCCTTCTAGAACGAACGGACAAACACGGAAACCTTTACAAGTAAGGACTCTTTGCACGACTCGCAGTCTCACACAGAACGGGAGAATGCGAAACGGCACGTAGTCTTTGAATTGTGGGCCTTGTGGCCTTTTAAGTTTGGCTTTTGAGACTATATAATGAAATTAAATGGGCTTTGGAGGCTATATAATGAATCATCTGCTTTCACTAACTTCATCACACCCACAAGGCCTAGCCACAACCACATCCACGATTTTAAAATTAGTTAGGTCCTAATCATTTCTACATTATAGGAAATAATTTTATGAAAATCAAATCCCAACAGTTTCCACTTTCCAAAAATATGAGTTAATTATTCTAAAATATCATTCTTTACACAGAGAGAATGCTATTATTTTAATACACTTTACCAGTTTACCTACTTGGAGTCCTTGAGATGCTTACCACGTGCTTTTATATATGTGAACTGTTTAATTTGAGTCTTCTTCATTTTTTAACTCTTCTTTTATTTCCTTAGGGTTGTTGATAGATGTGGCAACTTTCCACAAATAGATAGTATTTTTATATGTTGGATAAGTACATAAATATATAATCAAATAAGGTAATTTATTTGTAATTTCCTCTTTCAAAATTCCAACAAATATTTTCAAGCTTTTTTATTAGGAACACACATTGGCCCATTGTTATAGTGGCTTCTTCTTATCACCCTGGTCGGGGCAAACTTATGAATACAATCACACCGATCTTAACATTTTTGTACTTTGCTCGCAGCAATCTATTCATAGTAGATCGACGGTGTTGGGAGATTGCCATTTTCTTTTTCATGCTTCCATTAGCTATGATTTGCTCTTCTTTTCTATTTGTCTTTAGCTGTCTCAAGACTACTCAAAAAAATACCAAGTTTTGATCAGATAATAAATTAATATATTCCACCAAGTTATACATCTCTCAATACATTCGAAAATTTACAAAAGAAGATATAACTAATCTCATAAGATATTAAACAAATAGAAAACATATGAATAACCATTTTGCGTTAATTTAACAATTTTTTTTCATTTACATCAGAATGTTATCTCTGCAACAGTTTATAATATTAACTATCCTTATGGTAAAAAAAAAAGAAAAAAGTATTGGAGATCTTCATAATTAGAAGAAAAAAGTAAGCCATCACTCCATAAAATCAAATGTTTTGAAAACAAATAAATAAATAAAAAATAATAATTAAAAAAAAACATAAAAAAACTCAAGAATATAATGTTGCGCCTATAAATATAGATATGTTATATGGTATGTGTGTATTCCATCTCATCGCTAAGCAACTTCCTCACTATCTGTCCTCGAAATCAGATCAAAAACTCCCTCTTAGTCCATAGTTTTATGAGTTCCTCACTTCTGACACCTTCTGGTACGATCCCCACCACTGCGGTTGTCCGGTCAGTGTTACCCAAAGGATATTCCCTGCCCTCTGTCGGCATGACAAGTCCCAACAGCAAGCCGACATGTGTCACCTCATGTTGCTCCCCTGTGTCCACAAAGGCGGCAACTAGTGCTACTGACCTCAAACCCGTCGTGGAACGGTGGCCAGAGTACAAACCGAACAAGCTCCCCGATAAGAAATATGTGCGTGTATTGGATACGACGCTCCGTGACGGCGAACAATCTCCCGGTGCAGCCCTTACTCCACAGCAAAAGCTAGAGATTGCCTGGCAACTAGCCAAACTCCGAGTAGACAACATGGAAGTTGGTTTTCCGGCGTCGTCTAGTGAAGAGTTAGAAACCGTCAAAACCATCGCCAAGACTGTGGGGAACAAGGTTGTTTTCTTTTGTTTTCTTGACTTAAAAAATTGATTGTAAAGTTATTTTTATGTTGAAACTATATTGTTGTTTTAATTTGCTTAGGTGGATGAGGAAACAGGTTACCTCCCGGTGATATGCGGCCTCTCACGATGCAAAGAGACAGACATCATGGCGGCTTGGGAGGCATTGAAGTATGCGAAGAGGCCGAGGATAATCTTATTCATATCTACCAGTGACATTCACATGAAATATAAGTTGAAAAAGACTAAAGAGGAAGTGATCGACATGGTCACGAGTAGTATTAGGTTCGCTAAAAGCTTAGGCTTCACTGACATCCAACTCGGTTCCGAAGACGGCTGCAGGTCCATATCTTTCAAACCTTTAGCATGCATACATATTTTTTTGTTAAATAAAAAATGAAAATGTGTACTTTTAACAATATCTAATTAATTTATAACACACGTACAGCATTATTTGATCCATCAGCTCGCCATATTATATATAGTAAACCTCCATGTCATATCTATAGATTCTAAAATACTAGCTAGTGTGTGATTCAGAACGGATAAGGACTTTCTATGTAAGCTTTTGGGAGAAGCAATAAAAGAGGGTGCATTGACGGTGGGATTCGCGGACACGGTTGGTATTACCACGCCGCAAGAAATTACAGAACTCTTGACCTACCTCAAAGAAAACACTCCTGGAATTGAGGATGTTGTCTACGGTGTCCATTGTCACAACGACCTAGGCCTTGCTACCGCCAACACACTTGCTGTACGTAATTAACTCTCTTTTATAGATACAGTATATAATCTGTATTAGATAAATCAACAAAATCTCCGTACAGAATATATATACTCTCAAGGTGACAAAAACATGCATGTAGAACAAGGAGTTTATAAGTTTACACTATATATATATAGGCCATATGTGCGGGAGCAAGACATGTCGAAGTAACAATCAACGGAATTGGTGAAAGAAGTGGGAATGCGGCGCTTGAAGAGGTAAAGATCTTCACCAGCATCCTCATCTCATCTCATATGAGTTGTGTGTGTAAAACATTTTTTTACAACCAAATATGAGAAGACAAATTTATGTGTGTAGAAAATCTAAATCATGACTATATATATCATATACTATTATTAGGTCTAATCTTAATTTTCTAAAACGTAACATAAAGTATTTATTTAAATTATTTGGTATTTTAATCATGTATAACTATATTTGATATTTTTCTAAGCTATAATATTATATTATGGATGGCTTCCGTAAAAATATTATGGGTCTGCCACTAGTTCTGGCTGTGTATCCAAACGGTCTAATTATTTTAATCCATAACTCACACAAAATGGTTATACGTCGTAGGTCGCCATGGCATTGAAATGTCGAGGAGCATATGCGATGGATGGTGTTTACACAAATATAGACACACGCCAGATTATGACTACTAGCAAGATGGTATATTCTGTATACAAAATTAAAACTGAAATATCTTGTCATGTAAAGAATCATTTTTGCTAATTCACTTTTAGCCATTATGATGGTTGATTAAGTGTCATGTAAATTCTTGAGCAGGTTCAAGAGTATACCGGCATGTATGTTCAAGCACATAAGCCCATAGTTGGAGCCAACTGCTTTGTTCATGAGAGCGGCATTCACCAGGTGCCACAAGAGTTTTTATTTTATTTTTTATAATATAGTATTGATTTGCTCTATAATAATGATCAAAAACATATGCAGGATGGAATATTGAAAAATCGGAGTACATATGAGATTTTATCACCAGAAGATGTTGGGATCGTCAAATCTGAAAATTCTGGCATTGTTCTTGGAAAGCTTAGGTAATTAATCTATTTTTTTTTTTTTTTTTTTGACGTGGAGTTATACAAGTAGAGTACGTAATAAATTAACGCAAGATAAGAAACTTTATATTACGAAAACGACTGATTCTGTTTTTTATATGTAGTGGACGGCATGCCATTAAAAATAAGCTGCAAGAGGTATCCCATATGTTTTTTTAATTTCTTTAATCGTTTTAGTTACATACTTACTATACATAATGATTATGTTTTCTTTGTAACAAATTAGATATCAATATTTGAATGAACCATGAGCTAAAGATACTTGTTGATAATTTGTTACTCTCAGTTGGGATATGATGACCTCGGTGATGACAAGTTGAAAGACATCTTCTCGCGATTCAGAGAATTAACCAAGGAGAAAAAGGTTTCTCTATTTTATACATGTCCGCTATGATTTTAACTTCGAGATAATTTGTTGTTATGTATGATGTAATAATATAAACTATGAATTAAAAATTTCAGAGAATCACAGACGATGATTTGAAGGCACTAGTGGTGTGAGGGGGAAGATCCATTTATAAAGTGGAAATTCAAGAAGACAACTCAGACAGGATAATTATAAAAGTGCTTGCTTTAGTAAAGATATTGCAACTTTGTGTGGTGTTTTAATTTCTGTAAGTAAGATATATGTGTAGCTTTGTGTTTTGTGTAAGCGATTGATCGATTGTTGATGTTGAACACGTTGTGTGTTTTTGTATTACGAGCGATGATATCGTGTGTATGTAATATTGTAGTATAAGTATTTTCTGAAATTAATAAAAGCTTGATCCGAGTTTAGTTATATTATTTGATCTAACCCAAAACTTGATCCCGAGAGCTAGAAATTGTTCTGTAATCATCTTTCACCGCCTTGATTAATTAAGGACTACCATATTTTATTTTGGTGGCTAGTTGAGTGAAAAACAAATTAAGACTCCGAATGGTAACTATATCGTACTACAAACCGCATCGCAACAGTGCGACAATACTATCATTGCACTGTATTGCACTTCTTCCGCCATGAAAATCGCGGTTACTATTCAAAACCTAAATCAAACTGATATAAGTCAAACTAACTATCAATCAAGGAAGCTGCCTGGGCTATAACCTACTGGAAACATACGAAAACTAAAAGGCTACGCCCACTTTTGAAGGCTACAACTGTCGTTTACAAGATGAATCTGCAAAAAGAAATAAATGGAAGTGACATTTGTGAGAGAGAAACTGATATAACATGTTATGGATGGACTTATGGATAGGTCATTAAAAAGAAAAAAAAAAGTTCAAATGTCATGGCATATATAATAGGCACATATAAATAACGAATGTTCGTGGTGGCCAATACCAAACAACAACGTTGTAACAAATGGAACAACATTTGCCGTGTGTGTGACACGGCGAAGGAGCTAAAATTCCCGGTGGTTCTCCTCTGGGCTAACAGTACTATATCTTTGATCAGGTGGGTGGTGCGATCAGGTATGATCGACGGCGATGATTCGATTCTTCCAGGTCACAATATAGAGACGGTGGTTACCAAAGTTCTTACAGGTCACGATTAGATCGTCGTAACTGGGCTTTAACGTATCTTAAGGCCCATTGGTCCAATTGTCTCGGTATTGTGTGGGCTGGCTTTAAATTGAAATTAACTGAACAGCAATTTCAGAAAATGTACTCGCAAGTCGCAAGTTGCAATAATCTTTAGTTTTTTGTTTTTTTTTTTTTTGTTTTTCTTACTTGGATCATATGTCTATGTAATTTATATCCACATTGAAACTCCCAAGAAAATGTGAGGATATAAAAGGTGTAAAAAAAGATATAGTAAAGACAGGAATACGAATCATCTATATATATAAAGTTAACTTTTTCTCTCTTCTCCTTAAACCACATCATCATCCACCTCATTTTATTATTTAATTATTAAAATTAATTATACTGTTTTATCATTTAATTTTAATATTTAAACATGTGTAAATAAGTTTTTCCAAAATGAATATGAAAAGTCTTTTTTTATATTATACATTATAAAACTAAAAAAGATAATTGATTAAGAGTTAAAAAACTTACTAATTATCGATTATACTAACAAATATATAAATAATAGATTATAGTTTTTAGTGAATGTTTAAAATATTTATATGATTATATTTACACAATGTAAACCTACATATAATGGGATTTAACGGGAATAAAACAAAAAGTAAAAAATTTTGAAAATATAAATCTATCTAATTTATGTCTCAAAAGAATTTCTAACATAAATGAGATAGGTCGGACCGAGACATGAATTCTTATTTTTTATAAACATATAAAAAGGTAAAAATAAAAATAATATTTCTTTAAAAGTTTCCAATATGAATTTAACTATTTGTTTCCAATACAACACATATGTTAAACTAATAAACAAAATAAAAACTTAACTATATTTCATAAAATTGAAAACTAAAATAAAACATTATTAAATGAAATAAACTAAATATAAATTAAATTATACTAATATGTTAAATTTAAAAATTGTTCCATATGAAAAAACAAAAAAATATATAAAACATAAAATCAGAAAAATATAATAGTATATAAATGATCATTACGAGATATTAAGTACGACAAATCCAAAAAAGGAAACCGTAAAACAAAAAATAATAAATTATGACAATATATAAAGAGATTATGTAAACAATTAAAAATACAAAAATCCGCCCGAAACTCACAAATCATGTTCAAATTTCATACCAACATATAAAAGGGTCCAAAATATTAACATCTAGATCTATATTTGGTAAAAACCCTAATAGCACACGTTTCTCAATGATTCTCAACCGCACTTTCATTTACGCCCACACTTCGACTTATACTATACATACTTAATTTCTCAACGATTAATGAAGCTAAAACTCAATAGTTTTTCTATACAAACACAATTTAAGTTTTAAAAAGTAAAGTATGGTATAGTGAAAAAATAAGTAGGAAATAAAATACGAACCAATTACTCATAAACAATATAATAAACTTCTGCGCGTAGCGCGGGCAACCGACTAGTATAGCATAAAGTTGGGGTTACTAGAAAAAAAAATGAGTAAAAAACGAAAGAATATGAAGAAACTCAATTTATATATATTTCGTCAGGAAAACAAAATAAAAGAGAAAAAAAATAGGACAAGAGATAGAGCCGTATTTTTTTAAGTTTATGACAGTCTTGAGTCGTCTTCTTGGGGCTCAAGTCATAGCTCTGGTTGATAAATAAATGAATTAGCTGTTTTTTCTTGTTTTCTCAGAGATAGAGAGAGGGAGAGGTAAAAATGTGAAGATTGTACAAATTGGGAAATGAGAGAGAGATCAAGAACTTGAAATAGGTTCTTTGGTGTCGCTGATAGTACTTTCAGGAGCAGTTGTTGTTGCTTCGACTTCTCCTGATGATACTTGTTGTGGTACTGTTTCAGATTCTTGAGAGATAAAAAGAAAAAGGCCATAAAATTGAATTAGAACATCCAGATAAAAGCAGACAACAATGTATTATGTTAACTTAATCTTATTTAGTTTAAATGGTGACAAAAAAAAAAGAAGAAGCAAATGTGCAATGATCAAATGATGGATTTTAGACACAGAGAGAGAGACAGAGTGTCCAAAACGAAAAATGCATATAGTGTAGATGTTGTCAGTGTATGGTGGCTTCACTGGCATGAGGATTGGCGACCAAATTGACAGATGATAGAAGAGACACATATACCAATGTAATTGAAATAGACAGCTCACTCCACATGCTATCCCTTTATTCACTGTTTTCTCCAATCATTCACTCTCCTTTTCTTTTCCATTTTAACCCAATTTATATCCCTTTTCTTTTCTTTTTTGCTCTTACAGTGCATAACTTTGTTTGTTACTTTTTCGAGCTTAAGACAGCATGAAGGATTTATTACGTGCATGAATAAGTAACGCATTCACATAGTATTGTAGTTTCGATGTTTATACAAACAATTTCATGACGTTAAGTTGCTAAAAAATATCAATTTGAAATCAATTGGGTCATGATTGGATTGATGACGCATTTAATTACTATTTGAGATTACATCCTATTTTAGATGTGCGATTTCTAATTAACTGATGGTTCTTATAATCATCTCGAGGTGAATGATATTTTTGGACTGACTATGTAATTATCTATTGGGTTTTGATATTATGTACATGTTTTGTATGAGTTTCTAACTCAACAACTAATTAGTATGAGTATATTAATAGCACATGTTATATATTTTTAAGTAGTGTCTTATTTTGAAGGTATTAAATCATAAGAAACATTAAAATAAAGCAAGAGAAAGAGTCGAAGAAGGTAAGTACGTACCGGTGGAAGGAGAGAGCAGTCCATGGAGAGGAGTGACAAAAGAGGAATTGGATGGGTAAACGAGGAAAGAAGGAGAAGAAAACCGTTGAGGATTATACGGTTGAGGAAGGTGATGATGATGATGATGTTGGTATGGTACTCTAGGGGCTTGAAGAGAATAGCCGTAATAGTAAGGAGAAGGCATGATGGCTGCTCCTGATGATGACGGTGATGTTGCTCCTCCTGCATATAGTTGCTGCTGATAGTACTGAGCTTGCTGCAACTGTGTGTTGTACATTGCCTGCTGCATGTACATATATATGATCATCATCTTCATCTTAATTCATCATATCATAATGGACGATATACATGTCTTGCTATGTTTAACAAACAAACATGCATGTGCTAGTGTTTCTTTCATGCATTATATGTAAGTGGTCGACATGTGCAAGATACGTTTTGTACGTAAAATCTATTATTAATTTGATATCTTGCACTTCATGATTAAATTCTGGTTTTGCTTTCCATGCTGCGTATGTACATGTCAGTGAGAGAAAGAGGGAGCTTACTTGGTGGTACCCAAATTGATCAGGGTTGTAGGTGTACCTGAAAATAATACAAAGACTTGAATGATTCTCTGTAAATACAAATTTAGAAAACAATTTATGATTTTCCTCAGAAATTATATACTATACGTGTTTATAATTAAACTTAAAAACATATTAATTATATGAGTAACACCTTCATTTGAGCATTACAGTCTTGCACGTTAATGGTTTTCTCAACACATCCGACTATATATAATTTGAAGGTGATCAATTTCTTTATATAAATACATTGCAGGATATATTATTTATCTACACATATTAATGTTATCATATTTACAGCCTGACAACAAGTGGCCCGATTGACGCATTAAATTGTCTCCTACCATTTCTCTCGCAATGGACCATGTCCTTATCTATGCGATACATTTATAAAGTATCTTCTTAACTTAAATCCTTGGGGGTTTAAACAATTGGAGCCATTAACTTTCTAAAATCGATATATAAGCATACCCGTAGGACGGATACATGAGCTGGCCAGCTGCAGCCGGTGGCAGCGGTGCAGCCATCCCCGTATAGGCTGATGGTCCTCCGCTTTGGTATTGACTCGGACTTCCTGTTTGTCCTCGACCTAAAGTAAACAAAACGATTTAAAACTAAAGTACATTGCTGATTGAGGTTTCAAAAACTAGTAATTCACGATCGCAAGAATTGGATTTGATTGGTTATACTAGGCACATAACACTACTGAAAAAATGTACTTATTCTAATTCTGACGAGTACAACTAATGTTGTTTATGCGATCACAAAGTACCTTTAAAACAAAATCTTGATTAACGTACCAACCCATTAATATACCATGATCATATATATATTAGAACTCGATCATCAATATAAAGCAAGATTTAATGGAACAATCTCAAGTTTAAGAAACAAACCTCGAGGCGGGGATGGCCGAGGCCGTCCAAAAGACGCAATGTTACAATTAGCTTTTCTCCCGTCGATCACCGGATTTGGATCAGCGACGGCTCTAGTCGCAGAATCTGCCTCCCGGAAGGTCACCTAATTAAATTAAGGATCGGGCAATTAGCAAACAAACCCTTGATTCTAACCAAGATATATAAAAATAAACAGTGTGTGTGAATAAATAAAATAAATTTAGAGAAAGAAAAAACATACGAAAGAAAGAAAAGGAACTCTTTTTTTTTGGTAAAACAAAAAGGAACTTACGAAACCGTAGCCTTTAGATTTGCCGGTGTTTTTATCGGTAATGATGACGGCTTCAAGAATCTCTCCGAACTGATCGAAGTAACGACGCATTTCTTCCGTAGGAGTTTCCCATGCTAATCCTCCAACGAACACTTTGGTGTAAGTCGTGTCTCCGAAGGGTGATCGGTAATAGCTCGTTTGAGACGACATTTATTTGATATATAAATATCAAGATCAACAAATATGGAGTTTTCCGATGATATATGTACCCCCCCCAAAAAACAAATGAATGTAATAAATAAATATGGAAAAATGGGGTTTTTGTCTAAAACATTAGAGGAAAAAAGAAAGAAAAAGAAAGAGATTTTGGAATGGACAAATGAAGTTGGGCTGATCTTTATATCATCAAAGGTTGTTTTTGGTTGGGCAAAGAGAAGAGAGACCAATCAAAAGGTTGCAAATTGCAACCCTCAAAACAGTGTCGTATTTGACTCCTACCCTACACATACGGAGAGAGGACGAGCGAAGAGAAAAGATAGTTTTGGGGGAAGTAACGTATTGGGATTGGAGGGTTTTGTAAGAAGAAGAAGAAGAAGAGAGACAGAGAGAGAGAGAGACTGTGACAAGGCAGCACTTGAGTATGTCTTCGCTGTCTAATTTGCCAGGTTTTAACATTATAGCCCCTCCACAACTTTTCTTCTCCATAATATATTTCTCTAGATATCTTCTTTTTAATTATAACGACGTTCTTCTGCTGTATTATTTAATAATTTCCCTAATACGAAGATATTATTCTTTCTTAACTATATACTACTACTAGAAAGTTGCCCACGCGATGCGTGGGTTATATATACAATATTAATTTGAAATATAAATTGAAAACTACATTTGTATAGTTTAATATGTAATTGTTAATATAGAACATATTTGTGTACATTATAAACAGTAAAAATAAATAAAATATATATTTGAAAAATATGAAACCGAATGAGATCAATACAAAGTAATACAGATTAGCACATATATAATATAGTAGACAATTGTAAATTGATGTTAACTTTTTTTTGTGTGTACATTGTTAATATTAAAAGTAAACAAAACTCACATAATTTATGAGTATTGGTTTATCTCCCTAGTTTTTATCATTAGCTAGAAGTAAATTGAATTTTTAAAAAGATCAAGTTAAACTTTCCAAAATATCAATTTAAAATATTTCACCTGAGATATATGTTTTTTTTAAGACCTTATTTAGAAAAGCTTTTTCAATTTAGAAAATATTTCACCTGAGATAATTATATAAACAATAAAACAAAAGCCAAATGAACAGAGGAAGATTATTTGAGAAAAAGAAATTTGATATTTTTCATTCTAATTGATTGGAAAAGAAGCACACATATACGTAGATGAGATCCTTTTATGTATATTAAGATAATTTTATGTAGAATTTGTTGAAGGAAAAAACTAATATTGAAACCATTTAAGAACAAACACAAAAATTTACATTACTATAAAAGCTAAAGAAATGAATTTATATCAAAAAGCCATCACATGTTTACATCAACATTAACAAAAAAGATGAACGAATATATCTATCTATTATATATACATGATAACAATCATGAATTGCTCTTAAGAAATCGAATTTATGTTCGGTCTCTCTAGGAAAATCTAACTTGGGTTAGATATTTATATTGTTATGAAAAGAAAGACTATTATTTAGAACAAATGATTAAATTACTAAGAGTGGAGAGTGGATATGATACTATTGTATAACTCATACTTTATAAAATTATATAATTTAATAGGATTTTAGTGAAGCTCACTAATTCACTGTCTACTCAATTGATGAATGAATTAAACTAAATTTAAATTTTATGAACTGTATGGTTTTTCTTAAAAAACAATTTAAAGACCAATTTTTTTAAAACCAAGTACTTTTTGTTTCTTTTTAAACACTTAGACCTCAAATTTTAAATAAATTAAATATTATAATAATCTATTCGATCACAAACTAAATATAGTTATACATATATCGAAATGAATTACAATTATTTGAGATTTTTTAAAAATAGAAGAAGTTATTTGTTAAAGTTTTAAATTGAAACTTTTATTTATATAGCAATCAAAACTTTTATTTTACATATGTGTTAGATTATACTTTCTTCATTCATACTCATAAGTATGAAAAGTATGAATAATAAGGCATTAGAAATAAAAATTGAAAATTTATATATAATAAGGCATTAGAAATAAAAATTGAAACCATGTTTGATATATATCATAATTTCTAAAATAAATTAAGATCAAATTCTTAAAATGATACTTTCATTGATTTTCAATTCATATAACAACACAAAAATAGAACATATTTAAGATACATGAATGTAGTGATAGAGAATGAGAGAGAGAGAGAGAGGTTAATTATAAGATGGTAATCTAAAATAGACAATAGAGATGAATCTTAAAAAATCAATAAAACAATGTAAATATATATCATAGAGTGTCTAAAAATTAAAATTTAGACTAAACTCTTACAATGGTATTTAAATTTATTTTTCAACTCATACAACAACAAACAACCAACAAAAAAAAACACAAAACCAAACAAACAAAATTATAGAATATTTGAGGTAAAGTGGAAGAGGAGGAGGGAATGAGAGAATGAGAGAATGAGTATTTATAAGATGATAAGTGATGAGAGTTACAATTTACAAGAAAATGTTTTGGGAGTTAATTCTAATTTATTGTGTGTTGACTAAAATTGAGTAG